ACGTATATACAAACAACACTACAAACTTTGGACTAATATTTTTTTCTAATTCATTCTTATAAATAATCTGATATCGTAATTTTCTACTTACAGCAATCATTTATTCCTTCTGTAGAATATTAGGAATCTTTAATTTGTATCAAGAATTAATATTCATCAATATTCTCCATCAAAGGAATTGAGTTTTTGTCACAAACTCTGATTTTGTTATCATATATCTTTACATTTTAATGTCAGAGACCTTAGATATTTCAAACTATCAATCATTTTAGATAAACTTATGATAGTTTGAAATATAAAAGGTTTACACCATCAGGTTGCAAAGGTATAACTTTTTTAAATCAGAATTTGTGACAAAAACTCAGTTCCTTTTCTGAAATAATATGCTTTGAAGAAAACACATTTTTAACGTGATGGTATCAAAAAAATACTTTTAAATTGCGCACACAAACATTGTTTGCTTTTTCAGATTTGAAAGGAAAAACAGCCATTGCGTTGTATTGGGTTTGAGTATGCGTAGTGAAGTATAAAATGTTGGGGTGTTCTGAAAAACGGTGAAACAATATTTTTGTGGGTGTTAAAACTTATCAAAAGAATGTTTAGCTTTTCCAATTTTATAAGTTTTTAGAAAAATTGTAAAAAGGGAAACAAATTGTTATTACTAATTACACGGAATATTTACAAATCTGATAAGTTAATCCCATTCATTCAAAAGTTATGGGTAAGATTCTGACTCCTTTAAAAGTTTCCAACTAAGGATTATATATTTTGAGTGAGAGTGCGGTGTGTGTCACCTAGCAATGAGCCAGGTTATGCTGACCCAGCAGAGCGATACCTAGCTTTCCGGTCACATACTTATACAGATACTACACCAACCATAATCTTATTCCTTTCTCTGCAACCCTTCCCTCCATAATCTTATTCCTTTCTCTGCAACCCTTCCCTTCATAATCTTATTCCTTTCTCTGCAACCCTTCCCTTCATAATCTTATTCCTTTCTCTGCAATCCTTCCCTCCATAATCTTATTCGGTAATTGATGGGTCCACGAACCATGATTGATAGAAAATCGTTGAATTAATTATATGTTCACCAATTAAACGACCGCCAATGACCATTGACAAAGATGAGTATCCAATGTGGTGTGAAATTCATTTTTTTTTCTATTTCAATCCTATGTTTCTACAAAGAAAGGTTGAGTACCAACCCAATTCACTGTGGTACCTGGACAACCTTTGTTTGAGTAAACATGAGACATCCTTCCTGTCTGAAATTCTTAGTTTTCTCTCTAAAAACTACAAAATTCTCTCTGGTTCATACACAACTTACTCTGTTAATGATATTTCTCATGAAATAACGAAAAAAGCTAATTTCAAATGTTTTGATAACTATACTGTAAGCTAGACAGAATGGTACGACTTTGTAACCTCCTAGCTCCTCTAGTTTTGAGTTTACTCATGAGCATGAGAAAAGCAAATCTTTCCGGCCACATATTGTAAATTCAAAACATAAATAGCTCTTCGAATAAATGTGGAATGAATGAAAATATAAAAGATTTTTATCTTACATGCAATTTACTATATTTGTGTTGGGTTCTACTTCTTGGATTTTGAAAGACAAATAAAAACGTGAAAAGATTATCTTGATGCAGTTCGCGGATTTATTCAGCTTTGTGAAGAAATGTAGTTTTTCTTGTGCAGTTAAAAAGCTTAGAGAAATCCAATGTGATATGTGTTCCCCATTTTCATATTTATGCATACACAGGATACAAATATATACTAAGGAACTGAGTTCTTGCCACACACTCACATTTTCTAATACAAAATATCTTTGCAGCCTAAAACTATTTGATCTAAGATAATTCATTGTTTGAAATATCAAAGGTGTTAACGACATCAGACATATAGTGATTAAAAAATCAGAGTTTGATGCGAAAAAAAACTTAATTCCATGAAAGATTTAGCATTTTCTTTATGTTTATGTGTTTATGGGTGTACGTGTATATACACTGGCTTAAACTGGGATAGGTTTCTAAATTATGGAATTACATTCAGTTTGAAAATTAGCTTTCAAGATTACATTTTCACACAACATAAACTCTACTTACTTTGTTTTCCTTTCCTAAAAGATTTGAGTTTTTGCCACAAACTCAAATTGTCTTATCTCAACATCTTTGCAACCAGATGGTGTAAACTTATGATATTTCAAACTTAGTTTTTTATTCCAACATGATTCATAGTTTGAAATCTTAGGTCTACGTCATTGGGTTGCAAAGATATAGGGATTAAAAAATCAGAGTTTGTGTCAAAATTTAAATGAAAATCAAAATATTTTGCGAAATATTGATAAAGTTTGGACGATCAACCATGTTAAAGATTTTTCTATTTTGCTCATATAATAGATAAATGAAAATAAATGTAAATTTCTCCCATTTTAAAGAATAAAATGAATAAAATAGCAATATTCAAAATTTTTGCAAACGTTTCAAGATAAAAATCAAATTAGACTTTGTAAATTGTATTTATATTTAGACTAATAATAACTTAGGGCTAAGGAGGTTGTACACCCCCCCCAGGAAATAATTTTGAAAGGTCTGCAACTAATTTGATAGCTGGGCTCGGAAGCTCAGTCTAATGTAACGTATCTAATGCTAAGATGGGTTTTAGACCTAGGAACAAATTGAAAAAAGTGTTTTAAACTTTAGAAATTGAAAAGAAAATGTTGATTTTCTCTCAATTGAGTTATACATTGACAATAAATACCTCATTTTAAATTTTCAAAATTTTAGAAGAAACTAGTATTTCGGCTTTTTTTTCAATTCAAAATTAAAAACATATTTTGAGGAATTATTGTCTAATTTGTTTTCTGTTAAAATTGTAAACATTTCTTTCCGTTCATAAGCTAAATTATTTAAGTATGTTTATTTAAACCTGTCACACCTAATATTGTCTGTTAAACTTTAATTATCGATAAAACATTGTACTGTACATTGAAATGTTGTTTTTGTATTGAACAGTATGTATAATTTGTGCTAAATTGTGTAAGAACAAAACTAACTACAAGAGTTAAAAACTGTGTTCGGACTATTATAGAAATTAAACTCCCTGAAGATGTGAGTTTTTATTTAAAAGTCATCATAGCAAAAGCACGTATGAAAGCCAATATGATTGGTTCGAAAGTTAAAAACTGAATCTCCGTGAGATATAGATCGTGTTATCTATTCGCTTATCTTATTTTAAAGACGGGGGGCTAGAGTGTATAACTATCTAGATCACTCCTAGCTCTATCTCAAATTGGCCATTTTTCTTTTTTCAATATATTCAGAAACTTGAACCTTTTTATCTCGTTTCAGAGTTGTTTTAAGGTGGACAAATATAATATTTAGAAAAGGGGAACAATTTGCGTAGATTGTTTGACAGGGGGAAGGGGAGGGGGGATAGTTACACAAAATGAAGGGTTAATCAGGTATAGAAAAGTTTTTGTACAAGTTTTGAATTATAAGAAGAACAAACTTTTAAGATTCTTTATACATTGGGTTCTTTTAGTTTTCCTTCGTGCCAAAAAACGCTGGTTTGAATTTATATTTGTCAACCACACACACTTCTTCCGTCCAAGTTTTTATCCAAATATTCAATATTTTCTCGTTTTTCCGTCCAGAAACTTCAAAACTGTTCCATTTATTGCGTTCCCTTGACATAATTGAATCTTTTCTCGCGCTTCATTGATTGATGAATTGTGTTGGTTCAACATTTCTGTTATTTAAACAAATATTATATCTTCATTGTCTGCTGTGAAGTTTATGAGGGATGGTTAGAAAAAGCGTGAAAAGTTCTAGAGAATTCTGGAGCCACGTGACTTCATTTATCACGTGACACAGATTATCACCTAAACTTCGCTTCATAAACTCTGGAACGATCATTAATCTTGAACTAGTTTATTCTATTCTTTAGCTAACACACAATAATATATACAAGAGCCCAGTATTCTAGAGAACTCAACAAAAACATGATGTCCCATAACTCGTGTTTATTTCCAAATTTGCTCCGGTGTCGGCCATTTTTATTCTGCGTTTCGCGGATTTTTGACAGCTGTTTGTATAACTCCCCGTAATTGGTTCCATTGCGTGGAAAGGTACAATTTAATTAATCATAATAATTAAGCCCGAAACAGTAAACTTGAATTAGAGAAGAAAGATAAAGAAAATAGAGAAAAGATAAATAAAGAATTTTTAAAACATTTTCTTTTTTTTCATCTTGTATTTAATTTAATTTGCTGAATTACACTATTTCCGCCCAAACTACATACACTGCTACAGCTATAATAGTTAATACAAGCTACTACTTTTGTTGTTGCAATTGCTACAACCATTGATATATTGCTATTGCTCCCAGCACACATTAAACTGCAGCAGTTTAGTAAAATAGAACATTTTCAATTTCAGATTCCTAGGAAACAGTTAGAATTCTTTATCCGGTTTAAATTCAGAATTCTTTTTTTCCGGTTTCCATTCAAAACACAAACAAACTGCGACCAGAATATTGATGAAATATTCAAGTTGTGTACATATTTATATGTATTTGTACATTCTATTGTTCAAAGTATACCATATTGATATTTGATATATAATGTATATACATGTAATTACAAATGTATACATATTCATTATTCATTGTCGATTGTATAGTACAATTAATCATCTTTTTTTACTTATTCAGTGTTCAGTGTACAAGTTTTTTTTAAAGTATGTGAGTTGGTTACTTATTTGTTTTTATGTAAAATTTGTACACGAATCAGAGAATTCATTTGACTTTTGAAATATTTGCATGGATCTAGATCTATCAGTTGACATTTTTCTTTTATTTATAAATTATTCATTGCATGAGTATATTAAACTGTGTTGAATAAGTTTACATCAAAATCCACGAAACATATTTGTGAATTGATTTGGTGTGTATAGTGTACACTTTCTTAAGACGGTTTACGAGGATTTCCTTTATTACAGGACAGTCCAGGGCTCCTCATCAACGGCTTTCCGTACCCAGCTAAGCTTGCGGAAAAACGAAAAATAATCGAAGAAATTGCGCACAACGACGTAAAAAAAGTAAGTACTGCTTTCTTTGCAATTTTGTTCTAAATGCATGGGATGACAATCGTTTAAAACTATTTGTAAAAGAGTATGTGAAGATAGTAGCAATATATTCAAGTTGATAGTTCTATTTAATCCCTTATCTACAATTCTAAGTTGAATCTTTCCTTTAACCGCATACACCACCCTCATATATACCAGTATATACCATCAGATTATATCTTAAACTTATATTCAAGCCTTCTCCTTTCATCTTTAACTTCTTCCTTTCATCTCTTCATTCTTCCTTTCATCTATTCACTTCCTTTTATCTCTTCATTCTTCCTTTCATAATTTCATTCTTCCTTTCATCTATTCATTCTTCCTTTCATCTCTTCATTCTTCCTTTCATCGCTTCATTCTTCCTTTCATCGCTTCATTCTTTCTTTCATCTATTCATTCTTCCTTTTATCTCTTCATTCTTCCTTTCACCTATTCATTCTTCCTTTAATCTGTTTCTTCCCTTGTTATGTCCTACCTTTCAAGTAATTTGAATGTAAAGGGTCACCTAAATCTTATCTATTTTTCTCTTGAAAATTGAACCTTAAATGTAAAAATCTTCAATATATTCCCCTATACGTTCATTAGGGAAAAATTGGAAGAATGTAAAAAGAAACGTTTCTTGTTTCCCCCTTTTCCTCGAACACTTGAGAGTTTTTTATCTATCCAGTTAAACCACAAACTAAGATTTAAACTCTTAAATAAGATCTGATTTTCCAGAATTTTTCCCGTCATCAAGAATAATGAAAACAAAAATAAAGATTTAAAATTTTTTTTCAGGGATTTTTACTTAACGGTAATTTTGGTGTAAGAAATATTCTTGGTTATGCTAAGTTTATGTATATACATGTATTTATTGGTTCTATCAGATTAACAAGAACAGATGGTTTATTGTAAAACAATACTTTATCCCCCCCCTTCCCCCCTCATTCTTTCCTTTTCCATAACCTTTGATACATGTACAGTGGGACAAATAAACTAAAAAACAGGAAGACGACATTTAAAATGTATTTGAAAATGTTATAAAGCAAAAAAATTCACTTGTTAGCTACAAAATCAACTTAAAAATCATAACTTGAATCGGACAGTTATCTTCATATCCACGTTTTCACGGGTCCCACTTCTGTATATTCCTACAATCCAATTTTATTTCCCCCCCCCCTCCCCTCCCCCTCCCCTTTTTACACATCTTTGTTTATCATAACCATCAATCTGGTCATCAATCAGTTTTGCCCCATTCCCCCCCCCCTCCCCTCTATCTACCCCCTGTTTCCCCTTACCTCCATTTTCCCCCTCCACCCCCTTTTCATGATTCTAGACTTATCTATCACTCTATCATTCAAGCATATCGACATTTATTTATTCATGATTTTAGTATTTATGTATTTATTTATTGATTTATTCATATTCCTGGATATTCTTTTTTTCACCACGCCAAAGAAATGCTTTTTGTTTGTTGCAAAAAACGTTTTTGTGAGCAATTTGATGTAATCTCACATTTGGGAATCTTATATCATAGTACGCTAATTGTGGCCAGGGGTGTATATGTGAAAATAGGAAAAGAACTGATTACTCTCCTTAAACTATAATTTCTTTTTCACTTAATCTTTGCATCCTGATGCAAAAGATCTCTGATATTTCAAAAATGAATTCTGCTAGAAAAAGATTAGTTCTGCTAATAAATGGTTTGAAAAATCTAATGTTTGCACTATCAGGTTGTGATTAATAAGTGGTTTGTTTGGTTGAAAAGTTAAAACTAGTGAAATAAGAAAAAAGAGTTTTTGTAACAAAGATTTTGTCTTGTAATCACTTTTCCTTTGCTGTATAGTTAGGAACTAGGACTGGAATAGAACAAAAATATAGACTTTGATAGATATTTTCTTAATCAATTAAAAATTGTTTTTACCATTCCATGCATGGATAATTTCAACCTCTAAACTGTAGTGAATATTAGGTGGAAAAATGAAGAAAAAAAATTATCAAAACGGAAAAAAAATTTTGATCTATCTATCAATAAAATGAAAATAAATAATATGAATAATAATTTATCGGTAAATAATCTAATTTTGTGGCATATTATCTAGATATTCATTTCCCTTTGCCTTATGATATACATTATACATATATGTATAATATCGTTCTATACAGTTGGGGTTTCAAGAGGTGAAAATTTATTTTCGAAGATTCTTTTGCGAAAATTCCAGATTAGATTGAAAATGGATACAAATTAGATACTAGATATCTATCTATCTATTTCAGTTTTTAACTTCACATTTTTTATTAAAAAAGAATTATACATAATGTTTCACACTATCACGACGATCCTCAGTAGTTACAATACTTTGACCAACTCTATCTATCTATCTATCTATCTATCTATCTATCTATCTATCTATCTATCTATCTATCTATCTATCAATCTATCTATCTATCTATCTATCTATCTATCTATCAATCTATCTATCTATCTATCTATCTATCTATCTATTATTGTGATATATAATTATATTAGTGTCGGATGATTATTGTACAGAAACCAGATCTTGAGAAGCTCAATAACTCAATACAGTGTTATATAGTTACAGATGCCAAACCCCCGGTCAGTAATATTTATCTTTATATCCCGCCTTAATCCTTTGGATTAACTACTTTATACCCCGCCCTAGTCCTTAGGATAAACTACTTTATATCCCGCCTTAGGCCTTAGGATAAACTACTTTATATCCCGCCTTAGGCCTTAGGATAAACTACTTTATTTACCGCCCGAGTCCTTAGGATAAACTACTTTATTTCCCACCCGAGTCCTTAGGATACACTACTTTATATCCCGTCCTAATTCTTAGGATACACTCCAGTCCTTGAAAAAAAATACTTTTTCCCTTCCCTCTTCTACATTTAATAGTTCTATATTCCTATTTGATCTTCTTCCTGCTATCTTCTATATCTTCAATCCTCTATCTTCTATCTTCTATCATCTATCTTCTTTCTTCTATCTTCTATCCTCTATCTTCTATCTTCTATCTTCTATCTTCTATCTTCTATCTTCTATCTTCTGTCTTCTATCTTCTATCTTCTATCTTCTATTTTCTATCTTCTATCTTCTATCTTCTATCTTCTATTTTCTATCTTCTATATCTTCTATCTAATATCTCTGAAGGAACAATTTTCTTTAATCAATTGTATTGTTTACATTGCTTTAAACCCTATCAGGTTTTTTAAAAGTTCAAACTCCACTCCAACCCTCCAACCCTTCAACCCTCCAATCCTTCAACCCTCCAACCCTCCAACCACTCCCTTTCATTTTCCTTTTACAATAGCTAACTCTGTGAATGTGCATCCTCTGTGCTTTAACAGGTTGGTTCTATTGCTAAATAAAACATGTTATATTTAAATATCATTCTGCAAACTTTTCCAACATTTTTGTTTTTCATTCCGTCCGTGAATTGTCGCAGTGTAACTGCAGAGGGAAAATACAACATTTTTGGTGTTTTTAATTCTCGTTGGCATCCCATTTATCATTCAAGACCTTTCTACCCTCCCCCCACNTACTTACTCCCCCTGCTTTTGATTCTAATTTTGTAAACTGAACCATTTATTCAATGTGTTGAACTAGTTCCATGGTCCAGTTCTCTTCAAACAAAATACGTCCGTTAACAGATCATTTATCTTCTCTAGTAAGAAAATACAAAATAATACAATCCAATTGTAAAATATGGGGGGAGAAGGGAGGAGTTAAAGAGAAAAAATTATGCACTATTTTAGATTAAAAAAGTCCAGGGTCTGCATTGAAGAATACAAAAGTTTCAGAGTCAGCTTTGTTTTGGCTAAAAGAGTTTACAGTGTCTTTTTTCGGGATAAAAGGGTGTCCAGGGTCCGCTTTGTTCGTGATAAAAAATGACCAGGGCCCGCATTGTTTGTGATAAAAAAGAATTGCTCGGATTAAGTCATAAACATATTGCAGTTGACATAATAGCTTCGGATACAATATAATCTTCTTATCCCCCACTTCCCTTCCCTTCCCCTCCCTCCCTCCTCTTCACTCATTCTAATCCATCTTCTCCTTTCGTCCTGAATATTATGCCCCCTCCCCCCATCTCCTCATATCCCTCATATATAGTAAGTTAAAAAAGTTTATCAATAGATAAATATAGTTGGTGGAAGGCTGAACCAAAGATTATAAATAAAGGATGCAGACTACTTTTTCAGTAAATATATTTCAACATTTCAATGATGTCCTCATGTCACGGACAGTGCTGAATCCATTTTTTAATACCAAGCGCGGGTAAACGGCGGGCGTAGTATAAACCTGGGCACTCCAGCCAGCTACGCCTTATACTCCAGCTAATTGTTATAAAATTTGAAAAAATAACAATAAACAGCCTTAAATTGGCATTGTAAAAAAACCTATTTTTAAAATGGTGTTATCTATTTTTTGGTTTACATTTTCTATATATGTGATTTAGCATGATTCATGATATTAACTGTGATATTAGAGGCCGAATTTAAAAAATTTGAGCCGCGGCTCAATTATGGTTGGTTCCACTTAAAATTGTATTAAATTTTTCAAGATTTAAGCCGGCGCTTAATTGAAACTGGTTTTTGGGGAATTTGAGACGTTTGAATTTGGACACAGGTTATCGACAAAGGATAATACTGTAATGACGACATAAAACTCTTATAATTTAAAAATATACTGAATTAAAACAAAATAAGTTTAACTAACCCACTGACACGCGCAATCAGAAGATTTATTGAACAAACTTTTATTTGATTAAAAAAGATAAAGTGAAGTAAATTGGGATTATAAAACAAAAGTTTCATTTCATTCTAACTTGAATTTATATTTTGCCATTTGTTTTAATTTTAGAAAAAGATGTGATAAAAATAAAAATATCAGTTTTCAAACACTTCAATTCAGCTTCTGAAGAAAAAAAATAGATTTGGTAGCACATTATTGAGATGAGGTTTTACTCAAAATGTGTTCACCAATTTTGATCGCAATTTATGAAGAACCTTTAAGCAATTTTGATAGCATGTTATAGAGTTGCGCTTTTACTTAAAACGTCATGATCAATTTTAATAGCATGACATAGAGTTGCGCTTTTCCTTAAAACGTCATGATCAATTTAATAGCATGACATAGAGTTGCGCTTTTACTTAAAACGTCATGATCAATTTTAATAGCATGACATAGAGTTGAGCTTTTACTTAAAACGTCATGATCACTTTTAATAGCATGTCATAGAGTTGAGCTTTTACTTAAAACGACATGATCAAGTTTAATAGCATGTCATAGAGTTGAGCGTTTACTTAAAACGACATGTAAACCTTTGATATTGCAAACTTAGGTGTTTTGATATAACAGAATTCATAGTTTGAAATATCTGAGTTCTCCAACATTAGGTTGCAAATATATAAGGATTATACAATTAGAGTTTGTTACACTCAATTCCTTTGTCCAACAAAAAGTTATATCAGAATCGCCATGTTTTAAATTTGGTTTTGTTTATTTTGGTTCTACTACAGCATGTTCCAGAATAAATTATATTTTTATATCTCCCCTAAATCTGAAAAATTTAGCCAACAGCGTTATATTGTATATTGTAAATTGTATATTACATAAATATAAAATTTATAAATTCATTTTCTCATGATTTAATCTAGTTTTCGAAAAAAACAGAGCAAATTTTTTACTAAATGACATTACATTGGTATCTGTCTATCTATATATTTTTATCTATATATCCATCTATATATCTATCTCTATTTCTTTCTTTAAATCTATCTATCTATCTATCTATATAATATATCCATCTATCTATCTATCTAATATATCTATCTATCTATCTATCTATCTATCTATCTATTTATCTATTTATCTAGCTATCTATCTATCTATCTAATATATCTGTATCTGCAGTCATTTTCCGCAGTGAAAATATAAAGGACGATGAAGGGAAAACCCTACTCTCTAGCACTAGAATTATATCATTTTCTTCTCAATATATTTCGCCAAAAACTTTGGCATCATCAGGAGTTTGTCCTATAAAATAACAGATATAAGCAAAAAATAAAAATAAATAATACAAACACAGCAACTAAAATAAACAAAGAAGAGAACAAAAATAAAAAATCTTTTTATGTAAAATGGAATTTTTCAAAATGAATATTGTCAATTATAACTTTCCATATTTCAGGCTAAAATAGAAACGAAGGCCTTGAAGGCTAAACGGCCTGGGTTCACTGATGATAGATACGGTGAAACTTCGTATTATGTGGAAGCTGGTAAGTCATGGGTAGGGATGGACAGCGGGATCGTTTTTCGTTTCGCTTTGGAGCTTTGGTAAATTAACAAACCTTCTTTTTCTAGAAACTATCGTTTCGTTTTTTGTTTTCCCAAACTATCTTAAATTCGTTTTTAAAACGATCGTCTTTGTTTTTATTGATTTTTCATTGTTAACGAAACAATCAAATTCGTTTTCAAAAATGTAAAAACTGTCAATTCCTGTATTGATATGATAGTCTTTTTACGCTAAGGCTACCTCATTTTTTAGCAGCACATTTGAAAGCCGAGGAAGCCTTTAAACCTTGCGATTTATTTTTAAGTTAAGAAACTGAATACTCACTAAACTAATTTTCTAATCCCTATATTTTTGCAACGATCGGTGTAAACCTTTGAAATTTCAAACTTAGACTATTTGATCAGAGTTCATAGTTTAGAAAATCAAAGGTCTACGCTATTATGGTACAAAGGAATAATTGAATATTAGAATTTGGTCCAAAAGAAAAAAATCGTCTGCCATCACTGTAATCCAACAAATTACAAATCTTAGACATGGTCCCTTATATTGCTAACTTTGGAAGTAAAGAAAATGTTTTACATGAATGTATCTTTTATTAAAAAAAAGAGTCCAGAGCCGCAAATTTAAGAGAGTATCGTTGAACAAACCTGCCTGACCCCATTCATGGAACCGGATTTCCGAAACTTGGTTTCAACACGATACTCTTAAGTTTCGGGCCCTGAAAAGAGTTACTGTAACCTGCATATTTGAATTGTGTACAGTGTATTGTTTGTATTGTAATCCATACTGCGTACTCATCCCACTCTAACAAATAAACTTCCATTTTTATTTGTTTTGCCTTTGCATATTTTTTTACATTTTCCAAATCCTCTCACTTTATTCTTCTCCCCCCCCTCTACTTCAGTACTTGAGAGTGGGTATCGGTATGAATATTGACAGACATATTGTCTCATATTTTCCACAATATTCTAAATATGAACATTTACATTTTCCTTTATAGGCGCATTTACATTATTCTTTAGATCTACACGTACTATCAATACTTTACACATGGTTCTAATTATTTATGTTTGCTTGGCATGTGAAAAAAGGAAATGATCTTTTTCATTTTTAAAACTAAATTGTTGTTGAATAAGTTTAGATTTTGGAAGTACATTTTATGCACATTTATTCAACCACATATGTGTACCGGTTTTTAAAGCATTTACGGGGTGAGACGTTTCCATAACACCCATTCATACTGTGTACGCAAAAGAGGAGGTGTAGTACATTAAGCTTTGATATATAGTTTAGCTGGAATTAGAAATATGCTGAATCTGGACTGATAAAAGGCATTTGATAAAACAGATTTATATATATTGTACTGGTAAATAAATTGTATTTAGTTTTAAAATTTATAAATTTACTGATAAAAATTACAATAAAACTCTTAATGATAATAATGTTAAAAATAATTATAATGATTAAAATTATTATAGGTTTGAGGAAAGTGTACCCTTACTACTTTACCTTTACAACCTTCACCAAGGGACGCTGGGTAGGAGAGAAGATTCTAGATGTTTTTGCTCGTGAGTTCAGGGCTCACCCTGTAGAGGAATATGTAAGTAATTTATCAAGATTCGCCCTGTATTAAAGGGAGACTGCCATGATAATTTCAAGTGACCTTTCATACCTGATTCACAACGATACCACTCAAATCTTTATTTGATAAATAACGTAGATATTGTTGTTTTCATAGCTTTAAAATTGTTTACTTTTACCCACAATTGAAAATAATCCATTTTTAGAGAGAAGATGATATGCATTCTTTATCAGAAGAAGTTTTATTGGTTTCTGTTGTGAATCTGATATAATACAATTGTCACGGTCCCTTTATTGGTACTGTTGTGAATCTGATATGATACAATTGTCACGGTCCCTTTATTGGTACTTTTGTGAATCTGATATGATACAATTGTCACGGTCCCTTTATTGGTACTGTTGTAAATCTGATATGATACTCTTGTCTACAGTCCTTATATTGGTACTGTTGTGAATCTGATATGATACTGTTGGCACAGTCCCTTTAGGTTGAAAAATATGTTTAACATGAAGGGTTGTATTAATTCATTAAATGTTTAAAATAAATTCTAATTTAGATGTAAGTTTAGATCATGTTTATGAAAGTATGTTGCATAATAAATTAGTTTTGTAAACTAATGTATTTTGTCATTAAACCTAATTTCTGCAAAGTTCGAACGATAAAACATTTTATTGTATCGTTAAACGTTAAACGTGGACAGTTTTCAAAATGGGAAATATTTGTATTGACTTAATTGTGTAAAATCAAATTTAAAAATTTTAAATTTGTCATTTTAACTACCACAATACCCCCTCCATAAAATCCACCACTCTAATCTCTCCCTCCCCCCCTCCTCCTCTCTACGAGGCATCACAAATTACACAAGACACTTATTGTAATAAATGACACCCCTTCTCCTCTATTAGAACCAGCAATCTACACCAAACATTCATATTTTATCTTCCTTATTCAAGAGTCACAACTGTACGTGCATGTATACTGTATAGAGTCAAAAGTGTAAAGTATTGAGTTCGTAACTTAAGACAAGGTATGATCATAAAACCCAGTTTCGGAATCCCGGTATCATTAATGGGATCAGGCAGTTTTGTAGATACCAATATTTTTGTTAAGACGTATAATTCATGTGGTATCTTTATATTATCTTTTTGTTTTCTAATTCTTAAATTAAAATCCACGCAAATGTAAAGACCCCAAAAAGGAAATATGGGATTTTAGTTCAACAATACTTTCTTAAATTATCGACTCTGTGCAAATTGTACAGTGAACATTTTAAAGCATGAACTATTCGTTATACAAACTAAACTACGCTGGAACTCATTTCCAATGATTAAGGAACGCTAAATTCTGTAACTAAAGATCTAAGGAACATTGTATCCTGAATATAATCTCTATTGATCTAGGAACATTGTATCCTGAATATAATCTCTATTGATCTAGGAACATTGTATCCTGAATATAATTTCTATTGATCTAGGAACATTGTATCCTGAATATAATCTCTATTGATCTAGGTACATTGTATCCTGAATATAATCTCTATTGATCTAGGAACATTGTATCCTGAATATAATTTCTATTGATCTAGGAACATTGTATCCTGAATATAATCTCTATTGATCTAGGAACATTGTATCCTGAATATAATCTCTATTGATCTAGGAACATTGTATCCTGAATATAATCTCTATTGATCTAGGAACATTGTATCCTGAATATAATCTCTATTGATCTAGGAACATTGTATCCCTAATATAATCTCTATTGATCTAGGAACATTGTATCCTGAATATAATCTCTATTGATATAGGAACATTGTATCCTGAATATAATCTCTATTGATCTAGGAACATTGTATCCTGGAACTAACCTCTAATTATCTAGGAACGCTGTATCTTGGATGGAACCTTGACTGTAAACTATGAGCAGGTGGATACTGAATACAGACTAAGACACAATGATCTTCTTGCAAATATAGTTCATAGGTGAGAAATAAACTTGAATTTTCTGCATGTGGCTTGTTATATAAGCCTTTTACAATTTATTTTCCATAAAATCTTTTTAACTCTTTAGTCCCAAAACTTCTTATTTAGTGCTGTGCACGATCTAATGTGATGTGGAACACCTGATACATTTCTCAAACGTAATCACAAATTTTCAGTTCTGGATTAATCACCTCAAACTCTATTTTAATTTTACCTATATCTTTGCAACCAAATGATGTAAACCTGTCAAATTTCAAACTTTTATTGTTTGATTTCCAGGTTGCAAAGATATAAGGATTTTAAACAAGCTTTTACTTTCAAACACTTGATTATCTATCAGTAATGTATTGGTTTAAAAGTCACAATTGCATATGTGTACTTATGTTCAAAACTAATGGCGGCCCACTTTCCTCAACTTTTTGTATAATTCCTCTAGAAAAGTAATTTTATTTTATTTTATTCTTAGTTTTTAAGAAATCCAGAAGTTCTTCTTAGTTACACACGGTTCAAAACTTTTATAATTTCTTCCAACTATTTGCTCCGGAGAATCTTGAATTTAAATTTCACTCTCGTTCCATCCATCCATCAAACCTTCAGGTCTAATCTTATCCAGGGTGTCATAAACAGTTGGTCCTGTCCATAAGAAAACAGAGTTGCAAGGGGCACCATCCGCCCCGGTTTCAAGGGGCACCACTGCACCCGCCTCCCCCCATATTGCTCAAACCCCCCTCCATAGCCCTGTGCTGTTCAAAGTTACTTTTTGGAATAATTCAAAGAAAATATCTCTTGAGACTTACACTGCAGAGTAAAGCGAAGGGAATTAAGCCTTTGCCACAAACAATTTTCTAATCCTTATTTCATTGCAACCTAATAGTGAAAACCTTTGGTATTTTAAACTTTGATTATTCGATCTTACAGAATTCACGGCTTGAAGTATCCATGGATTCCGACATTTAGTTGCAAAGATATAGGGATTAAACAAACTAGAGTTTTAAAATTAGAGTTTGTGGCACAAACTCTTTTCTTTAACTCCTTTAAGTTCTTTGATTGTAAAGCCCAGAGTAGGTTTTATGATTATCTTGTAGGATTTAGCTATATTTAGACCAAGTTTAAACAAAGTACTTCTAAACCTCGAAAAATTGGCTTCTTGAGGTTGCGAGAATATTTAAAATATAAAGAATTGAGCACAAAATGTGTGTCGTTCTAGGTTTCAAATTGAAAACTATGTGCATTTGTTCCTTTTCTAAAATAAAATGAAACAAAGTGTATAATTTTCTCCTATGTTAAAAATACATCCTTTTTTATTCTATTTTTAATGCAACTTTGAACCATCCACTCAATAATTCGAACTCAAAAACCAAATCAAATGTATTTAAAATTTTTGGAGGAAATCTAATAGAATGTTTTTTATGCATAATGTGGTAAATCAAATAAAATTGACTTGTATCAATCTCAAAAATGACAGATAGATAGATAGTTCATGTTACAGACAGCCCCTTATACAATGTTATCTTGTCAACCAATTTATCATTGCAATCTCCCTATTGTTAGATATTCTACTACAGGGAGATGGCAATAAATAAACTCCCCCCCCCCCCGGAAGAAGATAAATAATATGTCCGCTTTACACTGAAACTGAAAAGATTTCTCCCTCCTCTGAAAGATTCCAAATTAAATTGGAAGATTTATGCGACTACATTTACGATTCAAAATATTCAATTCTAAATCAAATTCAGAGGAATGTTTTCACAATTTTTCAATAGATTCCGCATATCCAGGGAGTCCTGTATCCAGGGTGTCCTGTATCCAAGATTTCTTTGTACCCAGGGTTTCCTATATCCAGGGTGTCCTGTATCCAAGATTTCTTTGTATCCAGGGTTTCCTATATCCAGGGTGTCCTGTATCCAAGATTTGTTTGTATCTAGGGTGTCCTATATCCAGGGTGTCCTGTATCCAAGATTTCTTTGTATTCAGGGTTTCCTATATCCAGGGTTTCCCATATCTAGGGTTTCCTATATCCAGGGTGTCCTATATCAAGGATATTCAATATCCAGGGTGTGCTGTATACAGGGTTTCCTGTTTGCAGGGTTTCCTGTATCTAGGGTTTCCTGTATCTAGGGTTTTCTGTATCTAGGGTTTCTTGTGTCTAAGCTTTTCTGCATCCACGGTTTCCTGTATACAGGGTTTCCTGTATCCAGGGTTTCCTGTTTTCAGGGTTTCCTGTTTCCAGGGTTTTTCTGTTTCCAGGGTTTCCTATTTACAGGGTTTCCTGTATCCAGGGTTTCCTGTATCCAGGGTATCCAATGTATCCTGTAACCACCATACAGGTTTCTTTTACTGAGAAATAAGTTAAGGTTTACATTATCCTGAAAAATACGTTTAACGTGAGAAATCACAGGGTTTTGTAAGAATGTTTCTTTTTTATACATATTAAGCGTATCCCCAAGATTATTAACAAGACGCTAAATTTTTCTCATGTTTTAAAGTACATTTATCTAAACAATAAAACAAAATTTACAACTTCCATAATTAATGCAAGTTAGTTTGTGTAATAATTCTATACATAATATTATGCGTCATTACATAATTTTTGAAGATATTCGGTTTTGAAATTCGGTCCAACTAATTGTTTTTGTTAATTTTTCAGACATGAAACCCCTGTGCTGTCCAAACCTATTGAACTGATTCATCTTTCTGACGAGCTTGTTGTTTTGGATAAACCCTGCTCACTACCGGTAAGTTTATTAGTTCAATATTCCTGCCACCAGGTGGTTATTTATTTAGTTCTATTTACTTCCGATAGGTGGCTCTGTTCTGTTATGTTTATTATTCAGCTTATTCTTTGAAAGGTTTCTTATTCAAGCTTAATAGTTCGGATTCATACAAAATTACTGATTCATCGTTTTTTTACTGAACTGTAGAGTAAAGGCCAAACAAAGGAACTGAGTTGTTGTAACAAATTAAAATGTTTTAATCCCTATATGTTTGTAATCTATATTTAAAACTTAGATTATTAGATTTGATTGAATTCACAGTTTGAAATATCTAAGGTATACGACATATAGGGTTGCGAAGATATCGGGATTAGTTTGTGGTGAGCACTCAGTTCTTTAGCAATATTTTATAATAAGACATTTCATGAAATCATCAAACTTAAAAGACTTTGATATATATACATTATGTGTATTACAAAAGACTTAAGGAGCAGTATTTGATAGAAAATTGAGGAGAAATTCTGATGCTTTACAAAATTATTATTTACAGGGGTGAGAAAAAGGATTTTGCTATTATCAAAAGCTATTAACGAAGTAAGTTAGAATCAGATTGCACAAAACGCCATGTAAAACCAATCTCACAAGACGAACACTTCTAAAAAATGGTTCCGGGACTTAAAAAGGCATTGTAGAAAGCATAGTTCTTGAGTTTTTAAATATCTCTGTTTAAGTTGAAATATTATAGGATTATTTAATATGTATAATGTAATACTAGACTTTGACAAGACAAGTCCAGTGATATTCCAAACCATGGAGTATTGTTTTATGGAGAGGGAAATGAGCTAAACTGACATTATATTCTTCATTTAAAAAAATAGTTTTCAGTTGTCGTCTTCTTTAACTGATGTCACGTGATATGGCGGACTGGGCCATATTTCTCTCCATATATAACTACTCCTTGTTTCAACCCCGATTCTACTGGTTCGTGTAAATTTGTCTGCTAAAGACTGAAACTTTCAATAACCTTCTAATTTAACAAATTGCGCAATTTTTGCAAGTTTTACCAAATTTTACAAAGCGCATCATGATTTTCAAAAGTTTAATTTATTTTAAGGTAAAATTAATCCAAATTCACGATAGTACGGTCAACTTTTCTGCGCACAATCCAAAATTTTTAAAATATGAAATTTTCAGTCTTTTTTAAAATCAAACATGCAGTACCGTTTGACATGAGGATAAAATAAACCTGCTCTAACTGCAGGAGGTTAAATAATATATTTTGTTTTAGTTTTATCTATATATTCATGTATACAGGGTGTTCAAATAAACATTAAAAATGGGACAAATAGGTAGATCAGATCACATATTGTAGATCCCATTTTGAGAAAAATATAGTCTTGCATTCGGTTCACAAATTAATGCTGCGTAAAAAGAAAACGATTGTCACCTAATTGTTATGTTTATCTGAACACCTTGTACTAATACTAGTTAAACCCCTCCAATAATGAAGTGGGATTGGTTTCAGTAATCAGGGAAAACATAAAAGTTTTACTACTGAATATTTTGGACATCTTTTAACAATAAACATGGTGCTATACAATACTGTAATCATCAGAATAAACAGGTTTATGGGCTGCGTGATATCAAAACAAGTTTTATTTTGTGTTTCTTGATTTGAATATTTACTTAAATATTTTATTTCATGTTGTGGTCGAATTCTATTTGTTTGCTCAAACGAGTAAAAAAATGCCAGAAAATATATTAATCAGGTTTCAGCGGCTAATAAGTAGATTCAATTCCTGTCGTTGGTGTCACCACTTTTACATAATCTTTAACAATATATCTGATGACATGAAATGCAGGCAGGCCAGGCAGACGTCGTGCCATACAAGGTTGTAATGCAAGGAAAGTTAATTGCTGTCGTGTATACTTTGCGTACATATTGAAACCAGTTATCTCTGGGCGGAATTTGTAAACAAGAATAGATGCATCAGTGTTCGTTTAGTATCTGAGGAGGATAAAAGCATTACATTTTGATAATTTTAATAATTCACATAATAGTTTCCTATAACCAGAATATTTCATTGACTTTTTTATGTGAAAGATGGATCCCATGTCAGGCTTCGACATCCGTCTTGTGTTTACATTACCGCCCTTAGACAGTACACTGCAGTGCAAAAGATGCGTACACTTTTGAAATAACTTTCCTTGCATTACATCCTTGGAGCCATACATCTTTATAGTAATAGAAAGATCAAATAAAATCAAGAAATTGAGAAGAATTTAAACTATTGATCAATCCTAAAGTTTTAGAAGAGTTGGCACTCTTCATTAACTGCTCGGAAGTTTTGAAATTTAGTCAAATTAACTTATTTCTTTTTATTGGGGTCTCAAAGATAAACTTAAATGAATATTCTTTTCAAATTTCTTGAGAGATTAATTCTATTTATTAGGGTTTTCCATCGGAATTCCGTTGTGTGGAATGGCGCTGTTCTCGAATTGCGCGGAATTGTGCGGAATTGCGTGGAATTGCGCGAGGATTGCGGGGCTCGCAATTGCGCGCAAATAAAATCGAATTGCGTTGGAAACCCTACTATTAATATATTTGCCTTTTGGTACATTTAAAAAATTCGCCAATAAAATAAAATAAAGATTTATTTTTGATTTTTATTCATCAATCTTAAAAGGGAAATTATTCAAAGGAGTTGAGTCTTTGCAACAAACTCAAATTTTCTAATCCCTATATCTGTCCAACCTTAGACATTTAAACTTAGATTATTTGATCTAACAGAATTTATAGTTTGAAATATATGAGGTCTACGGCATTGGATGGCAAAGATATTAGGATGGCAAAGATATTAGAACATCAGAATATCAGAGTTTGTGGCAAAAACTCAATTCCTCTGATAACATCAGTAAGAGGGGCAGTTAAGTGGAGATTTCCAAGAGGAGCCATTCCCATCGGCACAAGTCACGCTCCAACATAAATGATACGACTTTGTGACCTCTAGTATTCATTTTACGCACAAATATGAGTAAAAACATTTTTTGGTTTAGCAGATATTCAAAACATTTTTTATTCTGTTTAATAGCTTTTCAATATTTCATGACAAATAATTGAAAACATATAGGAACGTGAAATTTAAACTTATTTGATTTGCGTGACTTGTTTTCTGTTCTCATCAAAATAGTTGAGAACATTCCTGTTATTTTGGTTATTTTAAGGAAACAAACAGTAGAAGATTGGTTTCAATCCAGATTTGAGAACGAAGATTGGATCCGAATATTTGTCCTAAACTAATTTTATTTTGGTCTCAAGAGAGAGGAATGGGTTGTATGGACAGATAAGACAATATTGGTTGAAATAAATCCAGCACATGATCTTTTCCTTTCATCATCTCCTTTCCTTTCATCATCTCCTTTCCTTTCATCATCTCCTTTCCTTTCATCATCTCCTTTCCTTTCATCATCTCCTTTCCTTTCATCATCTCCTTTCCTTTCATCATCTCCTTTCCTTTCATGATCTTTTCCTTTTCATCATCTCATTTCCTTTCATGATCATACTAAACATACTAAACAAACTAAACATACTAAACATACTAAACATGCTAAACATACTAAACATACTAAACATACTAAACAAACTAAACATACTAAACAAACTAAACATACTAAACATGCTAAACATACTAAACAAACTAAACATAATAAATATACTTAACATACTAAACATACTGAACATACTAAACATGCTAAACATACTAAACATACTAAACATACTAAACAAACTAAACATACTAAACAAACTAAACATACTAAACATGCTAAACATACTAAACAAACTAAACATAATAAATATACTTAACATACTAAACATACTGAACATACTAAACAGTAAACATACTAAACATGCTAAACATACTAAGCATACTAAACATACTAAACATACTAAGCATACTGAACATAATAAACATTGATTAATTTTAATGGTGTTTTTTTACTCCAAAGTACATTGCGGATTTTTAACAGCAGACAACGAACTTAGTTTCCAGAATGCAACACTGGAAAAACGAAGATATCTTCCCAATTGTAGCTCAGATTGTGGAGGGTCACTTTAAATTACGTCTTTAGACTATACAGTCCCTTTAATGCTCTATTCTCGTTTTGTGTCTTTGAAAAAATATAATTTTTTTTAATTTGTGTATTATTTACATCATTGACTTTTTATTTAAGTTTGGATTGTTAACAAGCTTTTTCCGAATTACAAGTTTACAAGTGATCAAAGAAAATGTTCTTCATTGTATTGATATAATCGTCTACCAATTACCAATTAAACAAAGCAAAGCGAAATATTTACAGTATTTACTTTATTCCAATTAATATAGTCGTGGACCAATCTATACAAAATGATTTGATGTGATTAGAGTTGTAATTAAATATTAATTACTAGAAATTCAAGGCGCTTCGCGCCCTTCTTTCTAGCCTTAGAGGGCGCTTCGCGCCCATCTTCTAAATTAATTGTAAACATGTTCTCTTTGTGTACATCGTAAAACTAAACAAAAATAATTCGCGGATTTTTACAAAAAATTTCGCGGATTTTCAAAATTTTCAAAAATTTAATGACGATCGAATTTTGATAGAGACAAATATTTGAAATTTTGATGATTCATAAACCTTCCCTGGGCTCCCTAGATGTCCCACAAAAAATTTGGGCCCGATCGGTTCAGCCGTTTTGACGTTTATTGGATACAAACAAACAAACAGACAAACAAACAGACAGACAAACAAGCCAAATTTATATATAGATAAATCGAGTTTGTGGTTAATTGGTTAGTTTATCAAAGGGATCATTAATGGTTCTATGATCATGGTTTTGATTAAAGCAAGAACAAAAATAAATAAAACTTGGTATGTGTATGAAGGGCAGGGGGGAGGGGGGTCTTGTTTCTATTATCACCCCCCCCCCCTCAGTACATAGGAATTTGCCACAAACACAAATGTCCTACTCCCTATATGTGCAACCTATCGGTGTAAACCTTTGATATTTCAAACTTAGATCATTTGATCTAACAGAATTGATAGTTCGAGATATCTTAGGTGATTGACATTGGGTTGCAAAGAATTTGTAGGAGATGTTTCTATTCCTACCATCTCTGTGTAGAAGTGGTTTCTATTCCTACCATCTCTGTGTAGAAGTGGTTTCTATTCCTACCATCTCTGTGTTGAGGTGGTTTCTATTCCTACCATCTCTGTGTTGAGGTGGTTTCTATTTCTAGCATCCCTGTGTAGAGGTAGAATCTATTCCTAACATCTCTGTATAGAAGTGGTTTCTATTTATACCATCTCTGTGTAGAGGTAGAATCTATTCCTACCATCTCTGTGTAGAAGTGGTTTCTATTCCTACCATCTCTGTGTAGAAGTGGTTTCTATTCCTACCATCTCTGTGGAGAAGTGGTTTCTATTCCTACCATCTCTGTGGAGAAGTGGTTTAAGATCTAAAGAAATGTTTAATGATGAACTTGAGAAAAAGTTTTTATAAGAAGATAGTTGATTCCAGGTTTAGAAGGTGTTACTCTAACAGCTCCTAGATAATTATTATATTTAGTTTTCTGCTTTTATTTTACGAAGAAGAAAACTTTATACGGATTGTAGACGTACATAATTTGAATTGATGCTACCCTTTAAAACCTTTTCTGATCATACAGTTGACATTTAGTTCTTTCAATTGTTATTTTCTATAAAATGACTATATATACATATACATATATAGAAATGCACTGAAAGTGATGTTTTAAAGTTTATATCTGACACTACGAGTTTTAACCAGTTTTAACCAATTTTAACGAGTTTTTACCAGTTTTAACCGGTTTTACCCAGTTTTAACCAGATTTAACCAGTTTTAATCAGTTTTGACTAGTTTAACCAGTTTTAACATATTTTAACAAAGGGATGGAATTTTCTTCCATGTTCATTTAACTACTTTAGACAACTTTGGTCTAGAAGTTGAGGTTGATTTTTAAATATTTATATTTTCATTTCTTTTAGAGTTTTGGGAGCTAGAAAGGGGGAATAGGGAATGGTTTTTTACTCCAATATTTGCCTTTTGGTACATTTAAAAAATTCGCCAATAAAATAAAATAAAGATTTATTTTTGATTTTTATTCATCAATCTTAAAAGGGAAATTATATTTGACAGTTATATTTTCCTTTTTCTTTATGTTCTTTTTTATTCTGTTTCTTTTCCTCAACTTCGACCAGTTGCACCCCTCATTTAACAAATGTAAATTCTTTAAAGAAATGCATTAGGATGTCCATGTATCTAATACCTAGAGATTTAATAAAAGAATGCATCCAACCCTGTAAACCACCTAATCCCTTTGTCAGGTTCCGTCAGATATTTTGTCCCGGAAATTTCAAATGTTTGAAATTTTGTGAAAGCCATTAGATCTACAGTTAAATATTCAAATGTTTGTTATCCTGTAGATATGCCAAGTCAAATTTAAGTGAATTTTGCATTTTATTAAAATCTGATATTTTTTCAATCCTAAATCATCTTGCTAAAGAGCTATTAAAATGTTTTGAATTTCTAGTATTAAACAGTTGCATAAAATCAAAAGTAGTGAAGCTATGAGATTACAAGGTTGGAGCTGCATCAGTATTACATGAATTTAACCTACTCCTTCTGTTAGTTGCAATATAAAAAGAATTATAGAATGTTTTGAACGAACGAACACTTTTGTTAGAATAACAGAAAAAACATTATGTTTGAGACAATTCTCTTGACAAGTTCTCTCAACAATAAGTTATCCGAACCAACCATTAGAGTATTTTTTAGCAGTGAACTTTATTTTTTACCTTGACTTTTTGTTATTATTTTAATTCACTTTTTTTTAAATGCTTGTCCTTTAAAAAAGTTTTTAGCAGATACAAAAAGTATTAACCTAAAGGACTTTTTTATAAAAAAAAACTATTTTTTTATTACAAAATCATAAATACATATAATAAAGTTTTGAGTACGTACAAATTAAGAACAAATACCATGAAATGAAATTCATTATTTACTAATGTTTAACGTATGGTTCAACAGTACTTAAAACGAAATTTCATGCAATTTACTCTAAATTAATAAATTGCGAATTTGTTAAAAATATCGGTGTAGTTTTGAGAGAATGGACAGGGGGGGGGAGGTTTGGACATTTGAGATTAATGAAATTAACCCAATTTCTTCAGAAGGAAACCATCTTTTACTTGAGAAAAGAAACGACGAGTACTTTACAACATTTTTCTTCCTACGCTTATCATTCTACTCTCATTTTTTTGTCTCTTTGTTTTTACGTCATAATCCTTAATTTTTTATCCTTTATTCTTTATTTTCTCTAAACGTACTCTCTATATTCAAACATTTCTTCCATACCTTTTTATCTTATATCATCTTTAGAATTAGTTTTATAAAAATATGAATTAAAAAACATTTAAATTAGATTTCCATCCTACTTTTCATCCTAATTTCAAATATTTTGTCCGTACTTTTTCTTATCTTTGTATCATCTTACAACAGAATTTTAAGATACAAGATGGTGAATATATAAATATTAAACATTAAACAATAAAGTTTTCAAATTATAAATTGATTGAAACCATTTTCTTGTCTTGCCCTTCATATTAGGATTAACCAACATATTTACACTCAATTTACTCTCTTCATCTTCTTTTTTTCCTTTTCTGCCTTCCATTCATACTTCATTTTGTTCCCAGTGTCCCTTTTTTTGTATCCAATAAACGTCCTAACGACAAATTTTTTTGTGGCAACTCACATGACCTTAGGGAAGGGATTGGGCGAAATTAAAAAGTTGTGTCAAGAAAAAAAATATCAGCTTATACGATTTTTTAAACTCCACCGTTTCAAAAAAGTCGCGAAAATTTCGAGTTCGATGAAAAAATGGTGGCTTGAAATCCACCAAAAATACCTGGATTTGAATTTGAAAAATTTAATCTGGAAAAAATGTCGATATTTTTTAAAAGGGGCGCGAAGGCTAGTATTGTATAAACCCCTATCCTTGGATACTAGGTTTTGCATAAGAATCAGACTTGATTGAGAAGAAGAGAGAAGTTTGAAACTAAATCTGAACCCTGGCCCTTGATCTCTCAGCTTGAGTAAAAACGTGTTTTTCCAAATTCTCAGATCATTTATACAGCTCATGCACATTTTAGAATTTTCTATCAAAATCAAGAAGTTTTATTACAAGATAGATTGGTATAGATTTACTTATGAAGGTGTTTACTTTGGATNGGGGGGGGAGTCGTCCCTGTTCAACTATTCTCCATGTTCATGTTCACCCTGTTCAACTATATTCTATGTTCAGGTTCACCCTGTTCAACCATACTCTATGTTCAGGTTCACCCTGTTCAACCATACTCTATGTTCAGGTTAACCCTGTTCAACCATACTCTATGTTCAGGTTCACCCTGTTCAACCATACTCTATGTTCAGGTTCACCCTTGTGGAAGATACAGGCACAATACTGTGGTGTTTATCTTGGCTAAGGAATATAATCTCAAGAATCTTAGAACCATTCACAGGTAACAAACACTACCCAAAACTTTTCAGTCCCCTTTCTCCTCCCCCCCTCTTTATAACCTTTACCCCACTCCAATCCCTTTACCAATCTTTCGTCCCCCTTACTACACCCCTTAAAGGGACTGTAAGCGTTATTTCAACGACGGCACTGCCCGATTGACAGCGTTATCCTTAATAGTTTTGACGGATCAAATATATAATAGAAATCAATGTTTGTAATTTGGAAAATTGCTTACTTTCAATATTGGGTTCTCTACTAAAGTGACAATTGTGCATTTGTATTGCAGGAAAATATATTGGTATTTTTGGGATTAAAAACATTCGGACGTAGACAAATTTGATAAAGATTTCAAGGGTACCGTTGTGAATCAAGCACTACCTCTTTTGAGTTGAGGGTTACTTGAAATTACGCTAACAGTCCCTTTAAAGAGAAGAATAAAGAATCCAGTGTCTGTAGAAAATTGTTTTCATATTTCCCCTTATTGGACAGTATACAGGACAGTATATAGGATATATGTTATAAATGGGTTCAAGAGCTTATACTAAACTCTAGACTTGAGTTGGTTTTTAATAGATTGTATTTTGGGATATTGGCGTTATGGATTGGATATTAGGATTTAGATTAGAATGAATATTAGGAATTTGTTTTTTATGCTTTTTATTCATGATTAGATAAGAACAATGAATACAGTGATAACCAGAAATATTAAGACAACTTTTTATCAATTAATGCACTGTTACCAAGTAAATAGTTTACAAGACCTATTTATTAAATCACTATTAAATAAAATAGGACGGTTTACACTGCAACGTGCACAAGTGCTGTATTCCATGCTCATTGGACTATTTAAAGTCATAACTAGAATCTGAAAGATGTCTTCCTTTTTCAGAGTTTTCTGGTTATCACTGTATTGGAATTTTGAGGAGAGACTTAATTGTTATGAAAAGAACTCTGAACTCAAAACATTATTGATAATTTGGCGCTCTACGTTTTTTATTCCAGGAAATTTACAACTAAATTCTTTTGATAACACGTTCGTAAATTAAAAAATGACCCCGTTCTGTAACGTTTCCATTCTCTTACATCTCATTGGAACTAGAACAGATTTTAATAAACCTTTGATATTTTAAACTTTGACAATTTGATCTAGAAGAATTCATAGTTTATAAAGGATAAAAAAATTATAGTTTGGCACAAGTTTTTACTCTTACGTTTGAAATCCCTTTAAATACAAGCTTCTGGTGAGTTGTTACGATCATTTATTATGAATGGTTGAACAATAAAATTATTTCCTATTTGTGAATTATCCTGGTACTCTAAACCTAGCGCCAACTATTCAGTAGGATATACACCAATCATTCATTTTCTATACTGGTAGACACCTTTCTTCATTCATCCTTTCATTCATTCATTCACTATACTAGTAGACACCTTTCTTGATTCATCCTTTCATTCATTCATCCTCTATACTAGTAGACACCTTTCTTCATTCATTCTTTCATTCATTCATCCTCTATACTAGTAGACACCTTTCTTCATTCATTCTTTCATCCTTTCATCCTCTATAACTAGTAGACACCTTTCTTCATTCATTCTTTTACTATACTAGTAGACTCCTTTCTCATTCATTCTTACATTCATTCATTCAATATAGTAGTAGACTCCTTTCTTAATTCATTCTTACATTCAATATACTAGTAGACTCCTTTCTCATTCATTATTACATTCTTTCATGCAATATAGTAGTAGATTCCTTTCTTAATTCATTCTTACATTCATATTTACGGTATTTTTATATATATTTATGTATAAACAATAGAATTAACAATGTTTTCTAATTTATAGATTGGATAGGCTCACTTCAGGCCTACTAATGTTTGGAAGGTAGGAAATAAATTTCTTAGTGTCACCTTTTTATCAGAAAAAAATTCATAACCTTGCTCTGACCTCTTTATCAGAAAATATATTTGGCCTTAACCTTTGTCTGGCCTCTTTATCAGAAAATATATATGGCTTTAACCTTGGTCTGACCTCTTTATCAGAAAATATATATGGCCTTAACCTTATTATCATGAACCTAATAATGAACATTATCATGAACCTGATCATGAACATTATCACGAACCTGATCTTGAACATGATAATGAACCTTATCATGAACATGGTCATGCACATGGTCATGAACCTGATAATAAACGTGTTCAGGAATCCTAAGAAGGCCCGTGAGCTGGAACAGCAAATTAGGAATAGACAAGTTATGAAGGAATATGTTTGCAGAGTTGATGGAGAGTTCCCACCGTGAGTTCTTCTATTCTTCTATTCTTCTATTCTTCTATTCTTCTATTCTTCTATTCTTCTTTACTTTTATTCTTTTATTCTTTTGTTTTTTGTTTTTTGTTTTTCTATTCTTCCCCACATAAAGCTTAATTTTGTAGAAATGTCTTAGCTCCGCTATAATTCCTTGGCTGTACTCCTTCCCTCTAATCCCTGACATGTTGGAATCCCCACATTTCCATCCTTATCCACCCTTAGAGTCAAGTTTGATCAGGTTTTCAACAATTTCACTCAAATTCAATTTATAATCAATCAATCTACATTACAATTCTTCTAACAGATATATATATATCTATTTATCTAACTATCTATCAATATATCTATCTATCTATCCATCCATCTATCCATTTAACTAAATATCTATCTATTCATCTATCCATTTATCTATCTATCTATTCATCTATCCATTTATCTGTCTATCTGAAGGTCTCTCTATCTATCTTGTTACCAATCTATCTATCTATCTATCTATAGTATCTAGGTATATCTATTCTATCTCCGTATCTTCTTGCAAAAGCCCCATTCAGTTAAATTGGTTAATTTGTCAGATACCGTTAATATCATTTTCTTTCTCTCATTCTTCCTCATACTATATCTTGGATATATACTTTGATATATATATATATATGTTTATATATATACTCGGTTTCCTTTTACTGGCCTTTGATCAAACAGAATGAAAGGGATTGTTCACTAAATTTTAAACATCATAAAAGGGACAGTTGACAGATTTAATAACTTACAAAGAAACTGGGGGTTTAACACAAATTCTGATTCTTTATACCTTATACATTTGCTATCCGATGTTGTAGATTTATCTATCTATCTATCTATCTAGGGGTCGAACTGAGTGCTGTCAACCAGTAGAGGTAGTGAGCTACAAGATTGGAGTTTGTAAAGTGTCAGTTCATGGGAAGGAATGCAGGACGGAGTTTGAACGAATGAACTTTAACGGAAAAACGAGTGTCGTCCTTTGCAGACCGTTCACCGGACGAATGCATCAAATAAGGGTCCATTTGCAGTACTTAGGTATAGGATGATTTTAAAATTTGTAAAGGAATTGAGTCTTTGCCACAAACTCTGATTTTCTAATCCCTTTTGCAACCCAAATTCGCTGACACCTTAGAAATATCGAGGTTTCCAACATCAGGTTGCAAAGAGAATATGGATAAGAAAATTTGAGTTTGTGTTAAAGACTTAGTTCTCTTAAATGAGATTTATAAAGATATATGGCTAATTAGCTTAAATATTTGGTTTGAGCTGTAAAATGCGGCCTTTATACTATTCTTTTTGTTCAGTAAGGTCAAAATAGAGGTTTCAGCTCTCAAAACCACACAACCAATGTTACGAAATAAATGGTTTATTTAAATACAAATAATCTGTTAAATTGCATTTATCAGTTCTTTAAAATCGGAACTATCCATTGCTCCAATGCAACGGTATATCAAAATATTCCAATTGTTTTACTCAGATCAGACAGATTTACAAAATAATCATTTGCAAGAGAAAATAAACGTTTGTCAAGAACGATGTTTAAGTCATTTTTACATAAGTTAGAAAGAAATCTAATGCAAAACTTAAATACCTATGCGTATCTCTAGGTACATTCTAAAAATAGTGTATTTTAAAAAAACATTGGGAACTGAAGTTCCAAATACTAGATCCATAAAAACTAGTAAAAAACATAATATTTTTGTAGGATATCCTGTAATGAATGATCCCTTGTACAATCACACCGTGTTCGGAGCAGAAAAGGGTAAAGGAGGGAATATCGGGAAGAGTGATGAGAAACTGATCTCTGATCTGATATCTATCCACAACGCGGAGAACTGGTTGGGTATGGATGGGGACTCGGAGCTATCCATGTTCAATAAATCCGACCTAGCAGACGATCCTGCACTTGGCAGCTCAGGTAGAGAGAACAGGCTTTATGGGGGGGGCGAATTAGAGCCACATTCTCCTAATTTTCTGTTCTGAGCCACATTCTCCTAATGTTTTATTTCGAGCCTCTGCGAATACTTTCTAAATCACCAAATCCCCTAGATTTTGATTTCTCAAAAAATAATTCTCTTTTTTCTCACGCGATTACATGGAATGCTGCAAATTCTGAAAAAAAAAATACTTAATTGTTAATTTGATCATGGACCGTATAATTTTCTTTTGTTGTTTCATGGGGAAAATGAAAGGCAAAGTTTTGACAAATTTTTTTTTTATTTTACATTGTGAAAGTTCGTAATAATGTAGGCATGTAGATTAGAATTAAGTTTAATCTTAAAATATTTATTGATAGCATACTTTGAAGTTAAAAGATTAAAAAATACTAGGCCCATGTCACAATTAGATTATGTTATGCCCTAACGCGGCCGGGTTAAAAAAAGGTCATTAAAAACAGGTGAAATTAGTACTTTGCAAATACAGAAACATGAATTAAATAAAAAACAATGTTGATCTTTTCATGACTTTTACAATAATTTATTTCTACTTTTCATGTTTTAACAAACAAAGAACATAGAAATATTGCTGATACAACATAAAAGGAAGAAAATAATGAAAAAAATATGTATATTTTCAAATTGAAAGGAAGTAATGCATCATTAAGGTTGAAACATGGATCAAAATCAAAGTTTTTTTGTTCTAAAAAGTTTAGAAATAAATGTAGTTTATATTGTGGAATCTACTAAACATCGTGTTCTGTAAATAATCTCTCTCTAACAACAAGTATTACACAATTTACAAAACTACACGAGTAACAAAATAAATGAATATAAATTATAAAAATACAAGAACCCCCCCATACCATCTCATATAAGACAAATTATTTTACATTTGCTTCAAAGGAATTGAGTTTTGCCGCAAACTCAAAATTTCTAATCGTTATGTCTTTATAACCTGATGGTGTAAATCTTAAATATTTCAAACTTAGATTTGATCTAACAGAATTCATAGTTTGAATTATCTAAGGTTCTACGACAATGGGTTGCAAAGATATAGGTTCAGAAAATCAGAGTTTTTGATTGGATGAATTACTTGCTGAACCTCATTTTCCGAACATGGGTTTTTAATGTAGAAAAGCTACCCCTCCCTTTTCCTCTCTCTATGATTGCCCTCCCCCCCTCTCTCTTCATATATAAAACTTGCCTCCTTATTTATTTTCTACTCGACGTATAATTTAAGTTTTCAACTTAAACTGAAAACTAGCGGAACATGAATTGAATTTTAACAAGACTATTTTTATTCAAAGTTTAACTACACTTTCACCTTAATTATACGTGAGTTGAGTTTAGAACATGGGGGGGGAGGGAACTAGAATGTGAAGAATGAGAATTGAATGGAAAGTAATTAAACTGAAATGGGAAAATGTTGGTTATATTTTAGGAAGAAAGGGTGAAATAAAAAATGTTTGAAGAAAACGCAAAGGGCTAATTGATGCAAAAAAAAACGATAAAAAGAAAACTCTAACTAAAGATAATTTATTCTAATAATTCTAGACTGATAAAATGCATTTGACTAAACGGTTTTTCACAATACAGTCTTATATTTCTTAATTGAAATTTTTAAAATTATAACATGAATAATAATGATACTTTTCTAGGCTGTGTTGTCCCCGTCCACTCCGTTCATCACAACAACTTCGACCCCGCCAACCCTATCGGGTGTATCGAGAACAATCCCTTAGTTCCCCGCAACTGTACAATCACCCGACCTCCACCGATCACCCGACCCTGCCGGTCACCCGTTGTACTCCGACCACCCCTGGAGGCTGCACCCATCTCCAGTTTAACTTATAATGATGAACTTCTTACTAAGGTAAAGACGACATCTTGATGTATTTTTGTTTTAGGATTACAATGATTGTGTTATAATTGTTCAATTTTTGTTTCGAACAGTTTGAACAAATTACTAATGAGTTGTTATACTAGGCTAACTGTACTAATATTTCAAACGTAAAATACTAATTCTCTCTCAAATTGTGTAATTTCAAACATTCATCTATTTGAAAATGCTCAAACATACAGTGAAACCCAGAAAAACGTATATTAGAAGAACGACATGAAAGCAATCTCTAACTTTTTTATTTGTTTTTCAAAGCAAATAGCTTTACAGTAGCTTATACATTTTTATATTAAGTTACATGGGTCTGTTTACACTGCACATTTGGAGTGGTTCATGTTCAGAGCCCAGAACGATTTAAATAATAAAAAGTCTTAAAATCTTCAAGCCGTCTTCCTCCACAGTTTCCCAAATTTTTTAGATATTGCTACTGCTAAAAATTACCCCTGATGGGCAGAATTAGCAAAAAATCCCTTTTTCTTGTAAATTTTGGGGATTTTTGAAAATATTTTGTATAGTTTGGAGAGTACAGATATAGTCCTGATAAGATGACCTGGGATCCGAACTGTTACGAATGCAAGGTTCGGTACAGGGATCCTAAAGCAAAGGATCTAGTCATGTATCTTCACGCCTGGACTTATAAGGTAATAATTCTGTTTTTAAAGGAAAGGTATTCGGGAAAGATAAACCATAAATAAAGGAATTGAGTCTTTGTCACAAACTCAAATTTTCTAATCCTTATATCTATGGAACCTGATGTTGTAGACTTTTGATATTTCAAACTAAAATAATTTGATGCAACAGAATTCATAGTTTGAAATATCTAAGGTGTACGACACTGGGTTGCAGAGATATAGGAATTAGAAAATCAGAGTTTGTGACAAAGACTCAACTTCTCTGTCATCTATACTTAAAGAGACTGTAAGCGTAATTTTAATTCATGCAACGATGGCAAGGTCCGATTGACAAACGCCTAAAAACTTTGTGTGATAAAGTATATCAATTAGATTTTAATGTTTGAAATTTTTTATACTGATTATTCAATAATAATTGACAGTTACAAAAGTTACTTGCATATTTCTACTGCAGGAAAACATATATGGAAGTTATCAGAATTAAACACTATGGAGGTTTACTTGAAATTGCGCTTTCAGTCCCTTTAAGAATGTATTTATCAAAAAAATTATTTAAAAATAAAATAATTGATGAATATCTCCACCTTGATGAAAGAATGAATGAATTCGTGAATTATGAAATAAATGAATTAATGAATGAATATTGTTCAGGGACCAGATTGGCAGTTTCAGACTCGACTCCCCCCCTGGGCTGAGCCTAATTGGGAACAACCAGAGAATGAGAAAAAATAATTCCCTCCGAAATCCTGGAATTTCCTCCGAAATCCTGGAATCTTCCTGATTCTCACTATACCCTTCAAAATATCACGAAATCCCATAAAATTCTCTCAAATCCCTCCAGAATCTCATCAGCTTCCTCCAAAAATCTTTAAAAAATCCTCCAAAATAAAAGAATGGCCGAAATCTTTAAAAAATCCTTCAAAACCTCACAGTCAACTAATAAATAACCATCCCCTCCCATTGTTCTGAAACTACTGCCTCATCCAGCCGTATCAAACTATTTTCTGCAACAACGAAAAATGAGTGAGAAATGTTATCCTTCCCAACCAAGGTTGTTGAACGCATAGTTGACGGTGCTCAAATAGTAATTTATCTATCTATCTCTCTTGTGTAAAATTTAAATATTTCATTCTGGAGAAAAGTCTAGAAAAGTTTAAACCACGTAGAATAAGTCCTTTAACTCCGTAGAATAAACTCAGTATACAATTGGTTTACTCTTCGTAATTTTCAATGAGTTGTTATCGTCGTTTCACCGATGTATGTTCAAACTGGTTTTACTGATGTATATTCGAACTTGTTTTACCGATGTATATTCAAACTTGTTTTACCGATGTATATTCGAACTTGTTTTACCGATGTATATTCGAACTTGTTCTACCGATGTATATTCAAACTTGCTTTACCGATGTATATTCAAACTTGTTTTACCGATGTATATTTGAACTTGTTTTTTCGTGCAATATTGTTAAATATCCATTTTTGACAAGGAAAGCAACTCTAAAACAGCAATGATGAAATCAATTGCAGGACTTTGTATTGTTTTTATTATATCGAAGCATGAGATAATACAACGATGTCGTCTTTGGTTCCAACTTTCAAAATTTCTATTTAGCAATTTTTCTGTCCAATTAGATCTATTTCAATGAATCTAGATTTTTGTTGTTTTTCATTAGCTCTTGTATTCGACCCTGTATCCGACTTGTCAAGCTTTCAACTTTAAATCTAGAATCAAATGTCGTCTTCGTTCGAAACAGATGGTTTTAAACTAGTCTGATGCACTTTATTAATTTTATCTATTTATTATTATTATTATTAAATTCTGTATTGATATTATTATTAGTATTACAAATTTTATTGAATATGCATACTGGACATTTTTGCAACCATTATTTAGTGAAATTAATAGTAAATTTTACATAATTATATTTGAAGTCTCTTGGACTTTTCTGCTCCAGCAGAACCAATGTTGTACAGGGATACCCAGAAAGAATGAGACTTTTGAGACGACTGTACAGAATGTATACTTATGTTTCTTTATATTTATGATTCCCTGCAACTGTAAACTTGTTTCTTTCTTTTTCTTATCATTGAATAAGCAATAAAAAGATTATATTCAAGAAAGAAGAATCGTGAAATTACAAAGTTTTAGGTCGTTTTTACAGTCTCATCCTTTCTGGGTAACCCTGTACGCAATATTTTGTACAGAATATGTACAAGATTAGTTAAAATTCAATAGAAAATTATATTCCAATTTTTGAGAAAAAAAAACTGTCGGTTGTAGTATTAAAAATTGGTTGTTTTTAAACAAGATTTTGCTCAAACAAAAAGGACATAAATGCCCCTTTCCTCCACCCCGTATCCTGCGAGAGCGATCACCACGTTTTGCGGTTGTTAGAAATAAAACAATGTGTGCTCAACAAAAGTATATTTTTGATTATTCTATGATAAATCTTGTATATATTTTAATCCAGTTCTCTGTAGGTTAACCATCTATATATATATATACTTTGCTTGCTCCAGTCAAAATAAAATGTGATTAAAAAATTGCAATATTTTCATCATTCTTTCTGATATTTAATTACCAGCAGAAAAATACATTCTTTGCTATTAAATCTAGCTTTTGTAATGTCTAGGTTTTTAAATTTAATATGTTTATATTTATTTTGTAAAATTTTCAGTTTGGGATTTCATTTTGTTCTTTTTTTTAAAGAAGAAATAAGCACCTGAATTTGCTCATTAAAGTTAATCAGTTTTGTTTCGGTTGAAGAAGTTTTCAACAGTATGCAATGCATCTATTTTATCCTCATCGGAGACCAATTCAATTCTCCAAAATCACTTGGGATTTTTTCATAGGGTTAATAAGGAGGACATGGCTCCGATTGGCTTCTCTAAAATAGTAAATCAAGTTTGAAAACTTCTTCTTCCCTAGTTTTGTTTGTTTTTATTTTAGAACTTAGCAGTTAGTTTATAAGGCGAATTTCAGGATTTTCTAACTCTCAGAAAATTTATAAATTCTTATTAATCTTACTGATTTAATATTGCTCAAAACACATTATATAAATATAATAATATACATAAATATAGACTTTTCTTTCGCTAGTCAGAGAGAGATATGGAATAAAATAGTAAAAAGAAAAGGTTTTAAATTCACTTCAAAGCAAAAGAAAATACAAAAGAAATTAAAATGAAAGAAAGAACGAACAAATATTTTACGTAACTAGCTTGTGTAACTCGAAAATTTAAGCCTCAAAAAGATAAATTGCCGAACGAAAAATGAAAACGATTGTTCAAAACGTTTTGATAAATCATTAAAGTTAATACAGTTTGTCAGCGCAAAAAAGTACTTAAAGAAATAAAGAACACTTTTTTGACTTTTGATAAACATCTAATACTTGTTTGAAGCCTATTAAAGGTCAAAACACCTTCAATATTTAAAAAAAAAAAAAAAATCGATTGCAATCTCTTAAATCTGTCTTAATAGAAGGGGGGGGGGGGGCCGAGTTGCTATATTATAGCTCAAAAAGAATATTTTTTTGTTCAAAAAAACTAAATTTACAGTTAAGAAGAGAAACGGTGAAAAGAAATAAGTTCTGTATTCACATGGTGCAGTTCAGCCATTTTATTCACTTTTAGCTGTTTCTTTTCTTTTCTTTATTCATTTACATTATGTCTTTGTGGGTTTAAATAAGTGCTGAAGAGACAAGAAACTTCTCTGCCAAGAAAGATTTGTTGAGTATTTTTAAATTTATTCAAATTTGAAATGGAAAATTTATTCCTTACTTCCGTACACCGATGCAAAGAATAAAATGGATTGTCATGAATATACAGATAATAATATAATTCGTTTATGGGATTTTAATCCTGAAAAAAAAACTTTTAAATGGATTTAATCCTAAAGGAATTTTAATCCTAACGGATTTAAAGGGATTTCAGTCCCAAAGGATTTAAAGGGATATTAATCCCAAAGGATTTAAAGGGATTTTAATCCTAAAGGATTTAAAGGGGTTTAATCCTAAAGGATTTAGAGGGATTTTAATTATAAATGTTATAAAGGGATTGAAATTCTGAATTATTTAAAGGGAGTCAACTTCTAAATGTTTTATAAATGTTATAAAGGGATTGAAATTTTGAATTATTTAAAGGGAGTCATCTTCTAAATGTTTTAAAGGGATTGAAATCCTAAAGTATTTAAATCTTTTTTCCACAGTTTTATGGGTCCCACTGTATTTATTTTAATACTAGCTGGGAAGTGACCGGCATTGCACAGGTTTATATTAATATTCAGGGTTACTTCTGCCCTTTACCCGCGCTTAGTATTAAATAATAATTGTAGCTGCAGTGCCTGAAGCGTTTCTAGTGCAATTTCAAAATTTTCCAAAAAACTTTGCCGATATTCACTGCCGGGGTATCCATACATTTTCTAAAAAAACTAATTTGGTCCATCAGTTTGGATAGGTATAGCAAACATATAAATATTAGATGTATACACAGATTGCATAAAAAAACGCTTTTTTAGACAATTATTCCGATTGATATAAATTTTTCGTATTTTTATCTCAATAGATTATAATTTATAATAAGGGATTAGAATTACACAAAAATGATTTAAAATATTGATAAATGATAATTACAACGATTATGGACTTAAAGAAGGAACTGCAGGATGCCTTGAATACTGAAATTTGCGCCCAAACTCCATTGAAATACCAGGCATAAAGTGTTTTAGCCCTTTCTTTGTGGTACTCAAAAGCAATGAAATTTTTTTCCTGCTTTGTAAATTAAAGCCTTGCCATTCTTCAAAAATAACTGCACAGTTTTTAGGTTTGTTTAGAAGATTTGCATTATTTTGCATGAAATTCAATAATACTGTAAAATTCAAATTCATAAACTCGACCAAGCAAAAATTTAATTTTTGTGCTACATACTTTTAATCATAGATTAATTGAAATAACAGAAAGGACACTAGATGTCCTCTTTTAACGATTTATGTGCGTTTTGTTCACAATTACCCTGAGGCAGAAGGCCAATCTATACCTCTAATTAATATCAATCAATCAGAATGTTCATAGATGTAAAAAATGTCACAAAATCTTAAAAATTGAATCATGGTGAGTGCTAAGATGTCTAAAAGAGCATTTTTTAGACACCTTGTGTTTATATATATACATATACCTGAGCGAAGAGGTATATTGTTTCAATATCAGGGGTTTTAACGTTTTTAACTCTGTAACTTAACTATGCGATCATAAAACAACTTGTAAAAACTTTGAATAAAAAGTTTTATGTTTTACATTTTGAATATTTGGTTTAATCACCCCAATTACTTTGCATGACAACAATTTAAAGTTTGAGAATAGATTAGAATTCTCATTCGAACTTTTCTTCAAACACTGAACATATTCCACGGTGGGAGAAGGAGGGGGGGGGGGGAAACTAAAAATTCTAGCCAAAGACAAAAGATATTTCTTATGTTTTATAATCTTAACCAAGGTACACATTTACCTTAATATAAGTAAAGAAATGTTATAAATATATTTCAATCTGCTAAACTTGTTGATTTTTCCCACACACACAAAATCTTTGTATTTATAGAAGATGATATTCAAGAAATAAAGTAACTGACCTAGAAAGATAGATAAATAGATAAATATATAGATAGATGAATAAATAGATAGATAGATAGATAGATAGATGGATAAATAAATAGATAGATAGATAGATAGATAGATAGATAGATAGATAGATAGATAGATAGATAGATAGATAGATAGATAGATAGATAGATAAAGTAATAAAGTAATAAAGTAATAAAGTAATAAAGAAATAAAGTAATAGATAGATAGATAGATAGATAGATAGATAGATAGATAGATAGATAGATAGATAGATAGATAGATAGATAGATAGATAGATAGATAGATAGATAGANGTTATTTTAAAGATTGTGGGTGTACGTTATTTTAAAGATTGTGAGTGTACGTAATTTTAAAGATTGTGGGTGTACGTTATTTTAAAGATTGTGGGTGTGAGTTATTTTAAAGATTGTTGGTGTACGTTATTTTAAAGATTGATGAGTTATAGACCAACACGCAGTTGAATTCAAATAGAAGAAACCAAACGGATTTCGCGAGTGTTGGATTATTGTATTGTTTGAGTTACTATTTAGCATCACTTTTAAAGCAGAATTTTTTTTCAAATCCGCGAAACATTGCCTTATTAAAGGGTTTGATTTGATTTGGGGAAAAATCAGAACAAAATAAAAATAGCGTCGATCGATATCAAATTCATTCAAATATATTTTCACGGTGTTGACCTCCAACTTGTTTGTCTACTTCAAAAATTAAATAATTTTATGATTTTTTCTATTTTATTTATTTTTAATTAAATCATTATATTGTTAATGTCTTTAGCCTTGAGAAAAGACCTGACTACGGATAAAGCATTTAAAAGGTTTCTTCTCCACAAATTCTAGTTTAGAAATAAAAGATCACTTTTTTAATAAAAATTTTTAAAAACTTTTTATACTTATTAACCTTTAAAATATTTGCTTTGTAAGTTAATGTAATTTTAGAAAAAATTGCGCCCCCCCCCCCTCGCCCTGCAATCCTTGTTGCGCCCCTGATGATTTCCAAGGAACATATTAATAGAACAGTTTGCTCAGTTCCACTCTGGACATTTAAACCAGGCACATGTACACATTATAGTACATACACTGTACATACATGTACATACAGTTTAGTTAAAACTATTTACATGTACACAATACAATATGCACTGTACATGAATATTTGCAACAGGTTTAAAACAAGGAACATGTACACAGTAAAACATACGATGTTCAGTGCACAGTTTACACTGTACATACATGTACAGTTAACTTAGAAACTTTTTAATATTTACACAATATGATATGCATTGTACATAAATATACACCAGGGTTAAACAGGTTTAAACACTATATGTATACATGTATAACACAAACTGTTCACACATGTACAGAAAGTTATGCTTAAACCACATATCTGTGACACAAAAACCTCATTGTTGTACAATAAACATAGTACATACATGCACAATATGTTTCAAACACAACAATACAAAACAAGCTGTACAGTGTACATACACGTATAACAAGTTTAGTTTTTTATAAGTATGTACTGTACTGCGATCACATTAAAACAAAAGTGGTACACCATGCTATGATTAAACCATTAAAGTGTAATCTTTATGCGAATATTTCGACCATTTCAAGGGGAAGGGGCCTCGAATAAACCCAAAGTCTAAACTAAAACGGGTTCAAATTAAACGACGAAAGCTGATTGTCCGATCTCTAGAAAACCCCCTAGTCATATTTAATAAGAATTTTTTGATGATAAATAAATTATCTTGCAAAATATATGTAGACGAAACTAACACATTTTTGTTTTGTTTTTAAACACTTTATAGCATATACTTCCCAGAGGAATCAATGATGCATTGAATTTATAAAGATCCCATTAAAACATTAGCATTTGAATTGATGCCAATGGGAATCGAAATCTTTAAAGAAGTTAAATTAATTGTAATTCTGTTTCTTTGCTCGATGATGATATTCAAATGACAATACAAATTATATGTGATGTAATTTTTTTCAGAATGGTTTAGATCATAAGGAATATGATTTCAATTTTAATCTGCTAATCTTCTGATGTCATTTTTTATTTTAACAACCTTAAAAAATTTATTTGTGAGTAAAATCAATTAAGATTTAGTCCTTTAGATCATGTACTATTCCCAAAACAAAACTTTCCCATGCTTTAATTAAATACCAAAATTTTCACAAATCCAATTTACCTTTAGTGTCTTTCATTTTGAAAATATTCCCTTGAATGATCAGAATGCTCCCGGGTGCTGTAAAAAAGCTGGTTTCCAGGAAGGAGTCTCGATCAACTTTAGGCAAAATTTCAGTATTTTTAGGATTAACTACAGCTGGTGTCCCACACAGTTAGGACATAGTTTCAAATGTTTTGTTTTTTAATTTGTTAAGTTGTTTGATACCAAAGAGAATATAGAATTATAGTAAAACTGCAGATGTCAAAGTAAAATATATTTGACGATTTTTTTACGAAATAAACTGCGTAAAAAGCTTTTAATATGTAGTACAATTTATGGAAGAAGACACTCACGTAATGCTTTTAATATGTAGTACAGTTTATGGAAGAAGACACTCACGTAACGTCATGTTTCCCGGGACACGCTGTATTCTAAATCAGGGCAAAACTTTTGAATCTCAAACATTAGCTTAAGCGGTTTCTTTCCCCTTGACTGTTCAAAACCTCTTTAAATATCTTCCAAAGGTCATACACAACTTTTCTCAGATTTAAGGCGTTAAAGGGATTGTGACGCAATGTCAAGTGACCCTCCATGGAAAGAGGAGAATGTCCGATTTACAACGGTACCCTTTAACCTATTCACCTGAAAACCGATGGTAGAGAATTCCGTGTGTTTTTCCTACAAACTCTTCAGATTTCAGAGAAACTGAAGTGTACGTAGTACGTACATCTACACTGTATACTCTGGACCGACTTTTAACTAGTCAAAGCAAACTGTACAGTACAATTAAAGACTATATTTGGCAAACAGGGACGGTACGCCAAGTAAATGATCCCCTTTTACAGGGTGTCCCAATAAACATGGGAATTCAGTGACGAATTCGATATCGTCTTTTAAATAATTCTTTGATTCAATATAGGGATACCTACTGAGAAAGCTTTAATCCGCAAGATGTTAGTCTACTACGTTAACAATTTGTTTGTTTATGTTTTGACTGCATAAGCTGTTGTACTTAGTAAAACAAGAAAATTACAGTATTCAAACAGAGTAAACTTGTCCGGGTTTACTGTTCATCTTTAGGAGACATTATAGACTCATCTTTACAGCCATTACCCGATTTCATAAAAGAAACTCTAGCAGACATAATGATATCATGGCTTTTGAAATTAGGCATTACAATGCTAAATCAGAATCTATGTAAGGAAGTCCCAGGAAAAAAAACCTGGAAATAAAAACTTTGGAAAAAAGTCCGAATTTTATCAAGTCCTTGGAAAAATGTCACTGGAAATAAAGTCCTGTGTTTTGGATTCCTGGGACTTTTTTTCCTAAAATATGGGGTGTGCCAATAAAGTCTCAGGAAATAAGATCCCAGGAAAAAAGTCCTGAAGAAAATAAATCCGAGGAAAAGAAAAACCTAGAATTGTGAATCATGCATTTTCACTTGTTAGAGGACTTTTTTTCCGAGGGCTTTTTTGTATAAAATCATACTGGAGCCAGAAAAAAAGTCCTAGAAAATAAAGTCTCGAATTGGTAGGACTTTATATCCGGAGACTTTTTAATAAAAGGACTTTTTTTCTGCAGGACTTTTTTAGTGTGAAATTTTAGGACTTTTTTCCGGAAACATTTTTTCCAAGGACTTTTTTGGCTATTACCGCTAAATCATGAACAATGACGATATCGAATTCGTCACTGAATTCCCATGTTTATTGGGACACCCTGTAGTGAAATTCAAGTGTGAACTGAACGCATCTGACATTACAAATATTTCTCAAAAGTCCAGAATATTCGATGTGAACTCAACGCATCTGACCTTACAAATATTTCTCAAAAGTCCAGAATATTTGATGTCGAACGCATTAAGAAAATTCTAATGCAAATATTTCACTTTCAACGACTGTTGAAAAGTAAATATTGGAAATTCTAAAATATAAAACAGCATACAAACAAAATCTTTGTTTACAGCCTTAGATAAAACAGGATAAGTCCATTATCCTTGATCAGTCAACGTTTTAATGGGTACTCTTGTGAACTGGACTCACAACTCTACGGAAGGAGAGTCAGTGATTGAGATGTTATATATTAAGAAAATTAATTTATAATGTTTGCGGGGAATAATTTTAAAGTTCAAAAGTACAATTGTACACTAAACAGTTCAAAAGTACATTGTACACTAAACAGTTCAAAAGTACAATTGTACACTAAACAGTTCAAATACAATTGTACACTAAATAGTTAAAAGGTACAAAAACAGTTCAAAAGTACAATTGTACACTAAAAAATTCAAAAGCACACTGTACACTTAACAGTTCAAAAGTACAATTGTACACTAAACAGTTCAAATACAATTGTACACTAACAGTTCAAAGGTACAATTGTACACTAAACAGTTCAAAAGTACAATTGTACACTAAACCGTTCAAATACAATTGTACATTAAACAGTTCAAAAGTACATTGTACACTAAACAATTCAAAAGTACAATTGTACACTAAACAGTTCAAAAGTACAATTGTACACTAAACAGTTCAAAAGTACAATTGTACACTAAATAGTTTAAAAGTACAATTGTACACTAAACAGTTCAAGTACAATTGTACACTAAACAGTTCAAGTACAATTGTACATTAAACAGTTCAAATACAATTTAATTTTTGGAACGATTTTTTCTTCCATCCCGGAAATAATTTTAAATTGTTGGATAACTTATATTTCTATGCTGTTTAAATCACAAAAAGTGATATTTGATATTTTAAATCATGCAGAAGTTAACTAAACAGTTAAGCCATTTATTGAAAAGGGATATTGCCTAAAAACGAAGCCAATTATTGAAAATCAGTCTCACTGATTTATATTTTCCAATATGATTGAAAATAATGTTATTTTGGCTATTTAAGCTTTATAATAATTTTAAAAACTGATTTTTTTTCAATCGTGGTTACTCTTCAAAAATGACTTGCGTATTTGCTGTTGCCAGAAAGCAATGTAGGAACTATCATAATTAAACACTTGTTAAGCTAAAAACCGACACTATCTTCCAGATTATTTATCAGATTAAGGTTTCAATTGAGGCCTTTGAATGAACGAAGGGACAGTTCTTTTAAAATATTACTATTAAAGGGAGTGTTCGCGAAAAATGAAAGAGGGTATAGGCTTACGGCGAAAAATAAGCGCTTTTGATCGCTACTAATCTTACTTTTATCTGTTGCGTCTGTAAGGAGAAAATTGTTAAAAACGGCTCATGCTGAAGAAGTCCTATAATTTTCGCGAACACTCCCTGTAAGGATGCACGATTCAATGCATGATTCCACTAAATATTTCAATCAATCAATCAATTAAAAATACTGAATTTTCAGGAGAAACTAAATTTTCGGTAACTAAAGGTAAAAGTATAAGATGTATATATATATATATATATTTAAGTTTTGTTTCTAATAGTTTTTTTCATCGGATTTACTAAGGCCAGTTGTATGTAATTGTAATATGCAAAAACAGGAAAGAAAAATGATATGAAAAAATGCTAAAAAGAAGATAGTTTGTGTATAGATGGATTTGGAATACATTTTATTAATGCAAAAAATAAAAGTTTTTTATAGGTAAAACTGATCGAAATCCTCGTTTACTTATTTCTTTGATTATATATTTCTGAAAAAGTGCTCAGAGCTGAAAATTTTAGAATTGTGGCTAATGCTTGATTTCCTCTTTTAGTTACCCTGAAGATTAAAATAATTAAGATTATTTTATTCTTAAGGAAATTTTCTAAAATTCAACCAATTAGAGTTGGGGATGCAAAATCCTGAACCGTCAACATTATTGCGCGCCATTTAATGACAGAATTCTCATTGTTCGGAATAAATTAGGAATATCCAAAAAGAGAGAAAAAGAGCGGGAAAAAGCAAAAATCAAAAGTGGATATTCAGATCAAACGATTGGTATTTAAGGTATCCGATTCTAAAGTTTTTAGCCATAGTCATTTTTAGAGATAAATAAGTTGCAACAATTTCAAATTAAAAAATCCACAAATTATCCACAGTTTTAAGGTAAAAGGAAAAGCAAAAACGATATTCTAGTTCTAGTTCTAGTTTTCTCTCTGTACTTAATTATATTGGTTAACCTCCAACTTTTAGAATTCCGTTCAAAAAAAAACTTTAAATTGGAAAAAAAGGTTTATTTTAACTTCCTTATCTGAATATTCCATATATCCACATTCTCTGATCTTCCGAACTGTGCATTTACACTTTTTTTAGGTCAAACCAAGGTTATAATGCAAGAAAAGATATTTCAGAGGTGTACGTATCTTTTGTACGGCAGTGTACTGTTTCTGGGTGGTAATGTAAACACAAGATGGGTGTCGAAGCCTGACATTCCATCTTTCACATAAAAAATCAATGAAATATTCTGGTCATCGGAAACTATTATGTGAATTATCAAAATTATCAAAATTTAATGCTTTTAACCTCCTCGGATACTAAACGAACACTGATGCATCTATTCTTTTTTACAAATTCAGAGAGAACTGGTTTCAAAATATACGCAAAGTATACGCAACTAAAATTAACTTTCCTTGCATTATAACCTTGGGTCAAACATGCGATAAAAATATTTTGTATATTTTGTAACATATAAATATTCTCAATAAATATAATTTTTTATTTTTGTAAACAACCCATATTTTTAATAGTACACTAAAACTGCACGAACTTTGTGAATATCTGTATCTTGATATATATCTCATATCTTACACCTTGATATATGGAACAGATCACATTATATGACGTCAATACTTACAGTGCACATACAAGAGAAAGATCCTATATATCAACCTATCTAAAGATATCGATTCTCTTAAGGAGAGTGTTCGCGAAAAATTAAAGGGTTAAAGGCTTTCAAAAATTATTCGATGGTAATTGCTACTAATCTTACTATGTGTTGCGTCTTGATTTGTTTTGAATTAAATTGATTTTTTTTACGATCAGAGTCGAATATTGCAACTTTCTGAATTTGTATTTGACGCAACTACACCTCAACTCTTCATTGATAACACTTTTGTATAAAAAATACTTATAGTAATTACTGTTTCATAGACAAAAGTAAAAATTAAAAGATAGAAAAATTTCATAATTTTATATTTTTATTTGGATATCCTTGTTTCAAGGGTCACTTTGTGGTATATGACCTTTTTGCACATGCCCTAATCGATTTGGTTTTGTTTATTTATATTGAATATGTTCTATTGCAAGGTTGTTTATTAAGATTGCTTACTCTGAATGCGCTCCAAGCCTCCAATGTACGAGAAATGTCGTCTCAAAAGGAGTGGATAGTTAAAATCCGTATATTACTTCCCAATTAATGGGACAGTGTCCTCAGGGATCGGCATGAGCATTCACAAACCGTCTCCCTTATCACACTGCCCCACAATCAGTGACTTGATATTGGAGCGTATCTCGAGTAAGCAACCTTAATAAACAACAGGGGCATAGGGGAATTTGTCCTGGGAAAGCTTGAATGCTATTTTGAATTTCCAGAGCTCAGCACCCGTTGGGGCCTGAATAATATAAAATGTATCAATTAATCGATAAATCAAATGTATGGAAATTTTTTTAAAAACTTAGTGTCCCCACGTGTGCACGTTTTCGGACAAAAAAATCTTTTATTTTGACTATTTTTGTTTTGATAAATAAATTGAAATCAGAACGAAATTCTTAATATCTCCGGTAATATTGACAACACAAAAAAAGGCGAACCACATTTTGGATCTTCCAGGACCAGGAAAATTTTATGATTATTGTTTCAAGAATCATACAGTAACTTTATAATTTAACTTTTGATTGTGTAGAAGCTTTTTTCGAATTACAAGTTTACAAGTAATTAAGGAGAAGCTTTTTTTATATCGACAGCTGCTCTTTGTTTCCATGTTGGTGTGTAATGTGTATCCATTCTGTAAAAAAGTTTGATATAAATCAAAATTGAGATCGAAAGTCGTCTTTGGTATATTAATATATGCGACGACGATGACTTTACATGTAAAAGTAGGTTTACGACCAAATGTCTCAAAAATGTCAAATATCTAGCTAAGACGACCTTCAAATCGTCTTTCTACTGTAAAGTTTCATGGGACAATCAGTATGTAGGGTTTCCAGTTTGGAATTCCAATGCGCAGAATTGCGCGGAACATAAAGGGCGCGTAAGTAAAATACACTTGCATGGGAAACCCTACCTGTATAGTGTATATGCATAAAATTAAAACGTTTATTTCCAGAATTGCAGTATGAGTACTCTCGACCCTCTATCCTTGGTACTCTATCCCCCCATGCAGTTGAGCTCATTTCAAGCAATTCAACCAGAGTCGTAATATGTCCAACCAAACCATCCAGCCTTCCTGGCTCAGCAGGTACCATCCAGTCTTTAATTTCAGGGGAGAAAAGTTCCATACTGTGCTTATGTTTAAAACCTACCTAGGTTTCAGTTTTTTATACAAAATATGAACGCTTAAAAAACACTTCCAGGTTTTGATAGAACCATTTTCGGAACAAAAAAGGTTTCCCAATAATCTTGGACGCAGTTTTGGAACATATCTTACCTTTTTTAACAATCCATAATTTGAGAATATACAATAGTTCAAAGCAAACCGCACATATATATTGCATAATATTATTATACCTTAACTACTGATTATTTATTGAATCTGTTCCAAAATGAAATCCTTAATTGCCAAAAAATCTAAATTGGACTAATGCTAAAATTGTTCTTGATTCTTGAAAGTTTGCAAATTGGTATTTTCTACTCGACTAAAATTAAAAGATGTCAATAGTAAAAAAGATAACTTTGTAACTTTGGCCCAAACCTGGAACTCAATGTAAAACCCGTACTGGAACTTTCTTCTTCTACATATAATCTATTTGAAACTTGCCTTGAGCTAAATGTCGCAACTAATTCTTAAACCTGCGCAGGCTACGCCGAGGTTGTGAATGCGGGAAAATCGAAGACGAGTGAGGATCAATCCGTAGCAATAGAGCATACTCTAGATGATAAATATAAGGAATATTATGCTTAAACACAGTTTACAGATAAAACGGTTTATAGGGTAAACACTTTCTTCTGTATTATTTCCTTGGTTCCTTCAAGGTCAATATCGTTTCAAATGGTTTCATAAGATTCCATAAAGTTTCATATGGTCCTATATGGGTTGATCAGACACTGTAAAGTTTCACAACGTTCCTTATGACTCCATAAGGCTTCTTATGGTTCAATAATGCTCCTTATGGTTCAATAAGGCCTTTCCCTGTCCATTAGGTTTCTTATGGTTATTAAGGCTCCTTAAGGTTCAATGCGGCTTTTTTGAGTATATCAGGTTCCATATGGTTCCATGTGGTTCCTTAAAGTTCCTTATGGTTTTAGAAGCTTCAATAAGGTTTCAAATCCATCTATAAGGTTACATAAATGGATCCAAAGCAAAGCACAAGCATTGTATTTTAAAAGCATAATGTACATGTTGTATTAGTATACTTTATTTGCTGTGTATGACGGGCACGGTGGAAATGGAACTTCTCTTAAGCTTGCTCATGAGCTACATGTGGTCATCTATCAAGTAAGTACATGAGTACATGGAACAATACACATATGTGGTGTCTATAGACAAGGCTAGACATTCAGCTAACTCATCTCACGAAACCTCTATTTCAAGAAAAACTTAGATTTTGGCATAAATTTAGATCATATAGTTAGTATAAGGCATTTTTCCGTACACATCATTACTAAATACAGTATTCATGACCAATAACAGTATTTATAACTCTAACTAGTATTCATTACTCTATGCAGTATTCATGACTCTATGCAGTATTCATGACGCTATGCAGTATTCATGACTCTATGCAGTATTCATGACTCTATGCAGTATTCATCTATGCAGTATTCATGACTCTATGCAGTATTCATAACTCTATGCAGAATTCATAACTCTATGCAGTATTCATGACTCTATGCAGTATTCATGACTATATGCAGTATTCAATCATGACTCTATGAAACACGTTGGGAAAACAAATTAAAATTTTGAGGGATAAATTCAGACATTTTTTTAGCCTATGTTACCCAATTAAAGGACAGGACACCCATGAGCGAAGAACTATATTAGAGAGAAGACATATATTTTTTCTTACTAATCGCCAGGGCCCTCCTAACCATCCCTGGTTGTTTCAAATGGCCATATTTATTGAGCTACAAGTTAAAGTTAACTTCCGAGGATATACAAAGAATCCACCAAGAAATAATTAAGAAATGAATATAAGAAAGGGGTGGTTGTGATTGGCAACTTACAAAAAAACGCCAGAAGGAGGACAACGATACAGTTATCAACAGTGTTTGTCTAACATTCTAAAAAAACTTCCAACGAGGTTATAGAATATAGAGTGCTGATGTACGTATATATACTTGACAAAGCAGTAAGGGTACCGTTGTGAAAGGTCACTTAAAAATTCTCTCACAGTACCTTTAACAGAATTCGAACTTATCATAGCTAACCAGCTGCTCATTTTTCAACAGTTTTCTCTAATTAAAGTTTGTTTTGAATCAATGTCACATGTTTCGAGAAAATCCGCGGTTTGTTGAATTGGATTAAATAATGCTGAGGGAAGAGAAACCCTAGAAGATATCTAATCCTGGAATATATTGGAGGATCATAATCCACCCAGCATTAATAGAGTCATAATTGTTAACATGTTTTTAAACACGTCATATTTATGATAATAATAAAAATGTTTATTGGTGGTTCATTCTTTAGTTAAAGTTTTAGGCTCTAAGACATGAAGAAAAAAAAGCTTTAAGCTAATTGCGGATCAAGCCAAGGCAAAATTAGATTTTTTGTTAAAAAATTAAGAAATGGAAAAATTTGTCCTTTTTAGGATATTTTATTTCAATCAAAAGCTGTTGATCTATAGGCCCGAAATTGAAAAATGGTTGACCTAGGCCCGATATTAAAAAAATAGTTGATCTAGGCCCAAAATTAAAATTTGGTTTCCCAAGGCCCAAAATTGAAAAATGGTTGACCTAGGCCTGACATTGAAAAATGGTTGACCTAGGCCCAAAATTTAAAAAAATGGTTGGTCTAGGCCCAAAACTGAAGTATGGTTTTCCTAGGCCCAAAATTGAAAAATGGTTGACTTAGGCCCAAAATTAAAAAAATGGTTGACCTAGGCCCAAAATTAAAAAAATGGTTGATCTAGGCCCAAAACGGAAGTATTGTTTTCCTAGGCCCAAAATTGAAAAATGGTTGACCTAGGAAGACTGAAATTGAAAAATGGTTGACCTAGGCCCGAAATTGAAAAATGGTTGACCTAGGCAAGAAAACCTGGTTAAAATTAGCATTTTAAGAATGGATATGTTTTAAAATAATTAATTAAGACTGTAGCAATTCATCTATGTCTAGTTTTAGATTATGTTCTAGATATTTATATGCATTATCATTCAAATCTGGTACGCCGTAGGTCCAGCTTAATATACCATACTCGTACTGGCATGACATGATATATTTTGTCGGAATGTTTTAAGACTGCCATCTAACGCCTTTTGTTTCAACTTTTATCCTTTCAGGGACTGAAATTTTACGATGTTTCATGAAACTCTAAATTTCAACAATAATTACACTTTATATTTTTAGTTTTGATCTTTAAATTTAAAAGTGGTCGAAGTTAAGGGAAATAAAATGCCTAAAACTGATGTGAATGAGTCTTTAGAGTAATTTTATACTTAAACGGTGTTAGGTCATTTCCCCAACACAATTTCCCCATTAACAACTTCCCCAACAACAATTTCCCCAACCGCTAATTTCCCCAACAACAATTTCCTCAGCAACTTCCCCAACATCCATTTCCCCATGGAGTATAATCCTATCCGGAAGATTAAAGAATTCTTGTGTTGACTAAGAAACTTGTGGTCTCTCAGCAGCAACCAGAGAAGCACTTCTGTATATTTCTGATGCTAAGTTTACCAGAACCGACCTACCTCCAGAATATCAGGGTTGGCCACAGCATTGATTATATGCTGTTTTTCAATGGTGGAAGCTCCACACTTTGCAATTGCATGGTTAATATTATTATTATGGTTGTTGGAAAGCGATATGATGACGTTATCAGACTCCTTCAGCTTCCAGAATGATTTAGTTTTGTCTCTTGACAATGATTGTAGGTTATACTCTTGCATATTGCGATCCACCAGAACATCCTCTTCAATTGTAGTTTGAAAAGTTGCGAAATTTTTAATCTTCAAATTGCGCATTTGTTCATTGGAATAAAGTTAAAATCAAAAAAATGTTATATTTTACTGCATGGCGAAATTGTTGTTGGGAAAGTTGCTGTTGGGGGAAATTAGTGATTGAGGAAATTGTTGTTGGGGAAATTGGCTGTTGGGGAAGTTGTGACAGGGGAAGTTGCGCTTGGGAAATACCTAACACCTACTTAAAAATTGTTATACTTTAGGCACTACACAGAGCCAGAAACTTAAGATAGTATCGTTGAACGAAACTCCCAAGTTTCCTTTTTGGGGTCTTTACATTGCGTAGATTTTAATTTAAGAAAACAGAAAACAAAAAGAGAATGTAAAGAAACCTCATGAAATAGTTTTCTTCAATGAAACTGGGTTTCATTACGATACAATCTGTCTTAAGTTTCGGGCTCTGAATATACTACTCCAGGCACTACAGGATATACTGCCAGAAATAGAAGATGCAATAGTTCGGGAAAAACACCCAGAACCTGAGGAAAGCATTAACTACTTAAACCATTTTAATTTGCTGTCCATAGATTATTAACAATATAGATAGAACACTAGATGTTTTCTTTTCAGCAAAGACAAAGACGGACATTGACAATATGTTTTTAAATTGTTGCTCCGACTGAGGTGTAAAGAATAACATTTTGAATTTTGAGCATGTATCTCTGACATTGGTGGATCATTTAAAATCACGTTAACACTGACAGTCCCGAAGATTAATAACAATACAGATAGAACACATATGTAATCTTTTCAAGATTTAGACTTTTTCGTTCACAATAACCCTGAGGCAGAGTTACGCGCATACTCTCTCTCTGTCTTGTCATTTAACCATTTCTTTCTTTTAGACGGTATAGACAGTTGTTAAATCTGTAGCGATCGAATACAAAGGAATTGAGTTCTTGCCACAAACTCAAATGTTCTAATCCCCAAATCTCTGCAACGGGATGGTTTAAATCTTTAATATTTTAAAATTGGATTATTTGATCTAACATAATTAATAGATTGAAATATCAAAGGTCTACGACAATGGGTTGAAAGGATATAGTGATGAGAAAATCAGAGTTTGTGACAAAGACTCAATTCCTTTCATTCAGATATAGATTTACATATACCCCTTTAATTTTTCGCAAACACTCCCTTTAGAGGGTAAAACTTGATAGAAGAGGGGTGGATCTTTGGCTGGGAGAGGGGGGGGGGAGTTGAGGTTATGAAACCTCCCCTGTCCCTGTAAACATCTGTTTTAATTTAGCTAATTTTGCGCATCCTTCTGCAACATATAGCACAATGCTGAGTTTTGCTAATTTCTAAATTATCTGCAAGATATATCCGCACTGCAGATTTAATTCGCAAATGGGAGGGAAGGAAGACGAATAAATATATTTATCTCCTTTCTGTTGTATTCCCAAGCGGGACACTCTATAGACCAAAATATATATATTTTAAGAAATACAATATCTGTATTCTGTACTATAGAGATGCGGTTCTTTTTCCAACAAATATGCAGATTGCTTTTTTTAAACATTATTTAAAAATTTTCGTTTGTTGTTGAAAATTTGCAAAATTATGTATTGTTGATTGATTTAAACAAATCTTTGATAAAGAAGAAACTAGAAATTTGCCACACATTTATAACCTTTGCAACCTTTAAACTTCGTTGGATCAATGTTTAAACAGTGCTTAGGATCCATTTAATGTTGATGCGGATCCGGATCCTGGATCCGCACTGGAAAAAAATGGATCCGGATCCAGGTAATTTCTTTAAGATTTACTGAATTTTTTTAACAAAAAATAATTTTCAAATTTTCTGTTCTATTTTTTTTCGCTTATTTTTATCCTAAACCATTCAGAAATTAGGAAATTTTTATAATCTCCCTTTTTTTCAAAAGTTCAGATTTGGGTTTCAGGAGTAAAAAAGTTTTTTTGCAGTTTATGGTTGATACGTTACCCCGTGGATCCGCATATTTTTGCGGATCCAGATCCGGTTCCAGGAAGCCAAAATCTTGCGGTTCCAATGGATCCGGACCCGGATACTAAGCACTGGTTTAAGATATCAAAGGTTTACACCAGCAGGGATTAGATAATTATAAATTATGCTGGATATGCTGAAAAAAAAATTCCGTCTGCAAAAAGAAACCATAGTTTTTAGCCTATGTTACCCCCGGGATACCCATGGGTGCCCTCGAAAAATCACAGCCAATTAGGTTCAGCCGGTTGGCCAGCTATAGCTTACATATACAGAAATATATAAATATATATACGAGCGAAGAGCTTTATTAATATAAAGGAATTGAGTTTTTGCCACAAACTTAGATTTTCTTATAATTTAGTAACCCGTTTTCCTAGACCTTTGATATTTCAAACTATTAATTCTGGTAGATAAAATAGTCTAAGTTTGAAATATCAAAGATTTAAACCATCAGGTTGCAAAGATATAGGGGTTAGAAAATTTAAGTTTGTTGCAAAAACTCAATTCCTTTCAAAATTGTATGCTCTAAATGTTTGTTTTTAAACATTATGCTTTTTCGTCTCTGCAGACTCATTCTTTATGGGTAACCCTGTAATTTAGACGTTGGATATTTGATTACGCATGTAATTATTATCTTTATTCCGAAACAGATGTGAAACTATTTTTTAAGAAGCAGTTAAGGTTTTGAAAAATCAGGAAGAAGATGATTATGAAGATTTTGAAGAATTAAATGCCCGACCCTTTACACCCAGGTAATTAATTTCTAGTGCTTCCTGCCACCCACCCAAATTAAAGGAATTTTCATGGCTAGGTTTTCGAGGTCCGGTCTTACATATTCAAGGTTTTTTCTGCCTGTAAAAATGCTGTGATTTTGTTTTTATAACATTAACCAATTTTTTTCTATGACCTTAAATGTTTACCCAATCGTTTGGGTTAATATCTTTGGCCAGAGTTTGGGTTTGTATCTTTGGAAGTTTTTAACTTCAAATTAAATATATATAAAATTGAAATCTCTGTTTGTCTATTTGTGTGTCCGATTGGAGAACTCAGGAGAACCGCGGGAATGTTCTTAGTTTGGTTATGAGATTCTAAGTTGAGTGGGTCAACTTTTATAGGGAAAAATAACTAAATCGTAATTTACGACTAAGTGCGGGTAACCGGTGGAGTAAAAACTATGAGTACCCTGGGCAACGCTGGGTTCTCAAGCTAGTAAGTAATAACAGATGAATGAAAAATGTTAGTTTAAAAATCATTTAACAGCTAAATATCCATGTCTTAAAAATGTAAAAAATTAAATTATGAACTGGATGTCGCAAAGCGTTCTAAAGTGAAAATATTTATATTCGATTTAGATGACCTTAATTACGAGTAGGAGGGATGTTAACGTTTTCATTTTTTTGAAAAAGAATCGTTTTTTTCGTTTTCCTATCGTTTTTTGTATCGTTTTCCGATCGTTTCAAAAACTATTGTTTTTTAAAGTTTTTAAACGATTGTTCTTAAAATGATCGAAAAACGAAACAAAAAACGATAGGAAAACGAAAAACAAAACGATTAACGACCCTAATTACGAGTCACTCCCCCCCCCCACCCCTCCTTCCTTCATTAAAAGAATAATATCATGAGAAAGAAAAAATATTCTAATCTCGATATTTCCAATTTTCCTCCCTGCAATATATTTTCCCCCAGACATTTGCGACGTGTCGCCTTCTCTCATATCATATCCGTTATCTGGCAAATTTCTAATTTAATTTCAAATATTCAAATTTAAATTCAATTCTGCCAACTATTCAATTTTGAACGGAGAATATTTGTTCCAAAAATAATATTTCAGCCTTTTGTAAAATTATGATGGAGTTCAAATGTTAAAAGACGCAGTTTTAGAATATATTTTAAAGAATCTTTTTTCTTTAAAAAAGTTACAATTATTTCAATTTAAAGCGTCTTCGATATCTCTAAAATAAATCTGCTTAAGTGAACCCCAGAAAACAACGGAAAAGAAAGACGACATTATTGAAATACTTAAGTGTAATTGTTTTTGTTACAAAGCAAAAAATTTCATAAGAAACTAATTAAATCACTAATTTATTGAAACGGGGTGGTTTACACTGAGCGGGGGAAAATTCAATTCAATGTGTTAATTAAAAAATATTCTTATTCTTTATTGCATATTTTTTAAATTATGTTTCTATTTTTAACCTAAGCTAAGTTCATTCCTGAAGTTCTACCGAGTTACCTAATCTAAATCGATGCATTGGTTCACGAGTTTTGATCGGACATGCAAACAGACAGACAGAGATAACTTCTTTATTTATATATCCTACCGTTCACCCGTGCTTTGTCGTAAATTAAGATTTTATCTGTTTTCCCAATAAAAGTATACACACTCATCATAGGTTCTCAAAACAAAGCTAAGAACATTCCCGTGGTTCTTCCAAGTTCCCCAATCAAAATTTTAGACTAATCGGTCAAGGGGTTCCTAAGTTATGATCGGACAAATAGACAGACAGACAAACAGAGATCACAACTTTATATATATAACTATATGCTCTGTGAATACAGTTCTGAGCTGGTATTTAATTAATTAATAACATTAACAGCAGCGTGCATAGATCAAGGAGTATGAAATAGAAGGTAGATACAATTGACGCGGCCCGCCCCACCGTATGATAATACATTCTTTACAGACGGGTACTCCATTTGTATAAGAAATATTCAGAATATGTTACTGTATACGCGGTAATTGCACATCAGACAAATATTTTTTATTCTAATAAAGTACCGTCAGTTATATCTCCTTTCTATTTCATACTCCCTGCAGCATAGATAGAGAAGTCAATCTGAAGATTTAGAGTGCCGCCAAGTTTTTATAAAAGTACCAACAAGTTTATATTAATAATCACCGTTAAATGGCTTAAATCTATTATACGAATAATTGGTTAAACTAGAATATATACTGCAGTGAGACCTATACGTTGTGGAAAAGGAAGATGATAACAAAAACAGCAATATTGCAATGTAAAACAGACCTTTTTCCCTTAATAAGTTTCAATTCATGCAATGCGTTTTGAAAAAATTCACTTTAAAACAATATATAATGCTTACGAAGACTGCTAAAATGTCGTCTTCCTATTCCAGAGTTTTTTATGTTACTGTAAATATAGTGTTTCGCAAAATTTACTTTTTAAACAGGAATTTAAAGAAACTCTGAAAAAGGAAGACGACTTTTATGCTAAAGTTATAACTTTAAATAACCCAATAAACATAGCAATTGTGCAATGTAAACAGACCCATTTCAAGGAATTAGTGATTTTAAAAGTCACTCGTAAAATTGTTTACTTTGTAACAACATCCAACACATATATGTATTGTTTTAATTTCGTCTTCCTCCTTCACAGTTTTCTCTTTCTTGTTCTCTCCGTATCAAAAAATCCACAAAATACCCAAGATTTTGGATTGAGGAACAGATACAGACCAATGTTTTTTTATAACCACTTAAAGATATCCATATTAGGACCAGAATAATTGATATTTCTCGCAATAACAACACGAAAATATTCCGGGGGTGAAATATTGGGCGTTTATATCAATACAATAAAAAGGAATTTTCGATTTAAGTTTTGATTTCAAAATCTCAAAATTTTTCAAAATTACAAGTTTAATCTAAAATAAAAAAGCTTTTTTTGACAGTTTCTCTTTGTTTCAATGTTAGTGTGTATCCATGCTGTCTGAAAGCTTTGAAAATATCAAAAATGAATTCGAAAGCCGTCATTATTGTAATGATATATACGACGACATTTAAATGCGCAAACATTCTCTTTAATAAAACGAATGATTGAGAATAAATGTATTTATGTATGTTTAGTTTAGAAGAATTGATCTCGGGAACCCTGGAATCATGTTTCTGGGTGATGGACAGTATTATTCTTCATGACAAGGAAATGTCGTCTTCCAGACGATCAATTTAATTTACAACCTTTATGTTATGTAAATTGTACTACCTAGAATCTAGATAATAAGCTTTTGTACATCGTATGGCCTTAAGTTTATGTACATGTTTATAGCTTTTGTACAACATTTAATTTAGTAAGATTGTACCAAGGTACTAACGCAAGAAAAGTTAATTGCGGTCGCGTATACTCTGCGTACATATTGAAACCAGTTCTCTCTGGGCAGAATTTGTAAACAAGAATAGATGCACCAGTGTTCGTTTAGTATCCGAGGAAGATAAGAGCATTTAATTTTGATAATTTTGAAAATTCACATAATAGTTTCCTATGACCAGAATATTTCATAGATTATTTTTGTAAAAATTGATTCCATGTCAGGCTGTGACATCCGTCTTGTGTTTACCTTTCCGCCCAAAGACAGTACACTGCAATGCAAAAAATGCATACCCCTCTGAAATAACTTTCCTTGAATTAGTACCTTGGATTGTACAAATTACAGGTTACAACCCAAACATAAGAATAAACAAGAGAATGAACAAATTGATGGAATGAAAGTTGGAAGACGGTATTTGGTCAAGGGTTCGTATAAGATAACCGGAGGATCCACTGCTCTAATGGCTTTCTTCATGTTCGACAGAACTTGGATTGTGAATTCAGGAGACTCCAGAGCTGTTCTGTACAGGTATATAGGACTCCAGACTCCAGAGCTGTTCTGTACAGGTATATAGGACTACAGACTCCAGAGCTGTTCTGTACAGGTATATAGGACTCCAGACTCCAGAGCTGTTCTGTACAGGTATATATGACTCCAGACTCCAGAGTTGTTCTGTACAGGTATATAGGACTCCAGACTTCAGAGCTGTTCAGTACAGGTATATATAGGACTCCAGAGATGTTCTGTACAGGTATATAGGACTCCAGACTCCACAGCTATTCTGTACAGGTATATAGGAATCCAGGCTCCAGAGCTGTTCTGTAAAGGAATATATAGGACTCAAGGGCTGTTCTGTACAGATACATAGGACTCCTGACTCCAGAGCTGTTCTGTACAGGTATATATAATTGACTCCAGAGCTGTTCTGTACATGTAAATTGTACTCCTGACTTCACAGCTGTTCAGTACAAGTATATATATAGGACTCCAGAGCTGTTCTGTACAGGTACATAGGACTCCAGACTCCAGAGCTGTTCTGTACAGGTATATATATATAAAACTAAAGTTTACTGTTCTGTACAGGTATACAAATATAAAACTCCAGTATACTGTTCTGTTCAGGTATACATATATAAAACTCCAGTATACTGTTCTTATATAACTCCAGTATACTGTTCTGTTCAGGTATATATATATATAAAACTCCAGTATACTGTTCTTATATAACTCCAGTATACTGTTCTTATATAACTCCAGTAAACTGTTCTGTTCAGGTATATATACAGGTATAGAGCAATCTCAGCCTAACACCAAAAAAATACAGACTGTTAGTTCAGGGAGTTTAGGATATATCTCTCGATAAAAATATTATAATCATCAGTCCTCAAACAATTAAAAGGTTAACAAAAAAAACAACAAAAAAAAAATTATTTAATAATATATAAGACTCCAGAGTTATGTACAATGTACAGAAATACTGTTTATAATAATATCCATTCAAATTTTAGTTGTTATGCTTTTAGTGCTATGTACAGAAATACTGTTTATACTAATATCCATTTAAATTTTTTTTTGTGCCTTTAGTGCTGTGTACAGAAATACTGTTTATTATAATATCCATTCAAATTTTAGTTTTTATACTTTTAGTGTTGTGTACATAAATAGTATTAATATAGGGTCACTCAGAAATGATAACATTTCTTTAATTTAAATATTCAAAGAATCAATTTTATCTTCTACCTAAAATAAACTCTTTAATGGGATACTATAATGATGGTATGAGAAAAAAGAATGAATAAATTCCATACAGTCGACTCTGAAATCTCTTCCCTGGTGGATAATACTGTTTACAAAGTACAGTGGTTGGCAACTTTAATAATACAATGAAGACGACTTTCTATTTATAATGATTTGATCCCGAAAAATTACAGGTTTACAAGTAAACAAAGAGAAGATGTTATTTCGAAAACTTCTATTTGTTTACATGGTTTTATGTCTCTGCTGTTTGAAATATGGTGAATATCAAAATTGACTTCATTGTATTAATGTATACGACGATCATTGTATTAATGTATACGACAATCATTGTATTAATGTTACGACGATCATTGTATTAATGTATACGACGATCATTGTATTAATGTATACGACGATCATTGTATTAATGTATACGACGATCATTGTATTTAACCTTTTAGGAAAGATAATGATTTCCTCGCAGAACCTCTTAGTTTTGATTTTACACCAGAATCTGATAGAAGAAGAATACAGGTAATAACATCTCTCAACTCTCACCTTCCCTGGGGTTATGTGAGTTGCCTTAAAAATTTGGGCCCGATTGGTTCAGACGTTTTTTCGATAGCTAAAAGCCATAAATATAGATTTCATGTGTTTTTAGGAAATAGCTTTTCATAAACCGCATCTACTCAAGCAAGCAAAGGTAAAACAAAATTTTCAATTAATATTTTTTTAATATTTTTCTGCCAATTTCAACAAATATCATATACAATATTCATTGGTTTCCTCGACAAAGGAACTGAGTTTTTTCCACAAATTCTGATTTTAAAAAGCTATATCTTTGCAACTTGATGGTGTATTTCAAATTATCATAATTTGATCTAAAATGATTGATAGCTTGAAATATCTAAGGTCTCCGACATTAAAATGCAAAGATATAGGGATAAGAATATCAGAGTTTGTGACAAAAACTCAATTCCTTTTGCCTGTACAATGTCCAAAGCGTTAAGTAAACCAATGAGAAGAAGTTTCAGTTGTGAATAATAATTACAATATTGAATATTTAATAAATTTTCTTTTAACTTTAGACTGGTGAACAAATATTTTCCCGGCTTCAATTTTCTAGAAAACTAACGTGAGTAATTTAGATTATTAGTTACTAATGTACACCATATTCCGGTTTTACAAGAACAAGAGTGAATAATTTATATGTAAGGATTCGATGATTACGTAATAACTGAAATGATAAATATGTTATGTAATGAGTATGATCAATTTCGCCTATGTGTGCATAATTTTGCATATTTTTCTTTTGTAAAACTATATATTCAAAAATTTATTTAAACAAATTTAAACTATACCATTCATATATGTATTTATATCTTTGTGTGTGAATAAATCTTTATACTAAAATAATCCTGTTCACTATATGCTGTTCACTTTAAGCTGTACACTATGAAGTTTAATAATTAATTGTTTGTATTAAATCTATTTGTAACTAGCTAAAGGTTCCGGCGTTGCCCATGGAAAAAAAAATTGAAGGAAAAAAAATTAGAACATTTTTTAAAAACAAAAAAAAAGATGTTTTTAGCCTATAACACCCCCCGGCCACCCATGAGTGTTCACACAAAAATTCAGCCCAATCGATCCAGCCGTTTGGCCGGCTATACGCAACATATGTATATATGAATGTCTTGTCTTTTATATAGATATTTGTAATGATCAATTTCTAGATAACCTAGTGAATATTCTCAGAAATATATCAGTTGTAAAAATTGATACTAATTGAAAAATAGTTAGCAAAATTTTATTACAAAAAAAATAATGCATAGATCATTGCACAGTTTTATGCTTTAGACGTAATTAAGTTATACACTACAGCTTATTATTCCGTTGTACTTGTATAATTTATTATTCCTATGTACAGTTTATTATTCCTCTGTACAGTTTATTATTCCTCTGTACAGTTTATCATTCCTCTGTACAGTTTATTATTCCGTTGTGCAGTTTATTATTTCTCTGTATAGTTTATTATTCCTCTGTACAGATTATTATTCCGTTGTACAGTTTATTATTCCGTTGTACAGTTTATTATTCCTATGTAAAGTTTATTATTTCAAATTACATTTTATTATTCCGATGTACAGTTTATTATTTCGTTATTCAGTTTATTATTCCGTTGTGCACTTTATTATTCCTATGTACAGATTATTACTCCGTTGTACAGTTTATTATTTCGTTGTTCAGTTTATTATTCCGTTGTGCAGTTCATTATTCTTATGTACAGTTTATTATTCCTATGTACAGTTTATTAATCCACTGTACAGTTTATTATTCAATTTACTGTTTATTATCCTCCGTACAGTTTATAATTCCTATGCACAGTTTATTACTCCTATGTACAGTTAATTATTTCCTTTTAAAGTTTATTATTCCTTTGTTCAGTTTATTATTCCATGTACAATTTATTATTCCTCTGTACAGTTTATCATTCCTCTGTATAGTTTATTATTCCTATATACAGTTCATTATTCCGTTGTACAGTTTATTATTCCTATGTACAGTTTATTTTTCCGATGTGCAGTTTATTATTCCTATGCGCAGTTTATTATTCCTATGCACAGTTTGTTATTCTGGTATAGTTTACTATTCCCAAGTATAGTTTACTATTCCCAAGGACAGTTTATTATCCCTATGTAAAGTTTTTGTATTCCTGCGTACAGTTTATTATTCTTATGTACAGCTTTTTATTCCTATGTACAGGAAGGATGATATTGGTAAACAAGTTCTTTACAGAGATTTCTATATGTCAGGCTGGGGGCTTAAGGTAATTATTAATATCATTATTATTATTTTCATTATTATTATTACGAGATCTCTGGGCGACTATGAATTAATTCACAGGGAGGGGAACAGTGTTTTTAAATTTAAGAAAATAAACTTTTCTAATTTTGGTTTCGTGGTTTCGTTATCTAGACAAAATCAAAAAAAATTGTTAATTAAAATTTTATATTACAAAACTTTAAATTCTGTACGATCAAATAATCAAATACCAAAGGGTTTACACCATTATGTGGAAAAGATGTAAGGATTATAATATTTGAGTATGTAGCAAATACGAAATTTTTTTTAACGTATTTAAGAAAATGTATTACTAAAATAGTAACCGCAATGCCCATTTTTTTAGTTGTAAAAACTTTTCAGTGATGCTGCACTTTGCAAGAAATATGACTTTTTTTCATAAAAACAATGCCACATTATTGGTTCCATTTTTTCTTTTTCTTGGTCGAATTTTAAAATTATTAAGAAAAGAATGTTGTGGGGTTTACTATAAATACTGTTACAAAGAAAAAGGACAACAGTCAACAATTAACGTTAAAAAATGCAAATCAAATACAACATTTTTTCTGGTTTTATCAAAATTTTAATGAGCAAATTGAATTATTATTTAAAATTAAAAACCCCTGATACAGGAGCTCACTTTGCAACATGAAGGAGTTTCTAACCCCGCAGCCAGAGGTAAAAACAATAAAAATAAAAAATATTACGCTTTATAAGAGTAAATTTTAAAGCTTGGTTTAATCCAAATGTAAAGGTTTGATTACCCTGAGTAAAGTGTGTACTGTGTACCAAAAGGGTGTACAAAATAAAACTTCATAGAACATATTTTTGTGTTGTAACGAACTATTTGATAATTTTTATTCACATATAAGCATTTCACCCTTTATAGAAAAGAAGTGTGTATTTTCCACTAGTTTTAAACTTTTTTTCTCCTAAATATGAGGTTTGTTTTATACACCCTTTAGCCTTAATCTTGTTTATTTTCCTATTAAATCTGCAATACACCTTGGTTTATTGTTTATCTTGTTAAAGGGAAAGGAGTTCAAGAGCAAATCATATATTTCATTTCAACCTTTAGATTTAGATTTATGAACAATCCTGTAACATCTGGTCCCATCCAGTCCCATCTAGTCCCATCTAGTCCCATCTAGTCCCATCTAGTCCCATCTAGTCCCATCTAGTCCCATCTAGTCCCATCTAGTCCCATCTAGTCCCATCTGGTCATCTAGTCCCATCCAGTCCCATCTAGTCCCATCTAGTCCCATCCCATCTGGTCCCATCTAGTCCCATCTAGTCCCATCTAGTCCCATCTAGTCCCATCTAGTCCCATCTAGTCCCATCTAGTCCCATCTAGTGCCATCTGGTCCCATCTAGTCCCATCTAGTCCCATCTAGTCCCATCTAGTCCCATCTAGTCCCATCTAGTCCCATCTAGTCCCATCTAGTCCCATCTAGTCCCATCTAGTCCCATCTAGTCCCATCTAGTCCCTTACTTTGGTTTATTTTCCTCTAAGCATTAATCAGTCCAACTTTATCCAGGCTTTAAATATATATGTAGATTCGATTCACGAGTCGCTCTAGATATTTTGGTTCGACTAATCAGTCCCTTTTAAATATTTAGGTTCGACTAATTAGTCTCTTTAAATATTAAGGTTCGACTAATTAGTTTCTTTAAATATTAATGTTTTAGGTTCGACTAATCAGTCCCTTTAAATATTAAGATTCGACTAATCAGTCCCTTTAAATGTTAAAGTTCGGCTAATCAGTCCCTTTAAATATTAAGGTTCGGCTTATCAGTTCTTTTAAATATTGAGGTTTGACTAATCAGTCTCTTTTAATGTTAAAGTTCGATTAATTAGTCCCTTTAAATGTCTAGGTTCGACTAACAAAGTCCCTTTAAATTTCTAGATTCGACAATAAAGTCCCTTTAAATGTCTAGGTTCGACTAATCAGTCTCTTTAAATGTTTAGGCTCGACTAATCAGTCTCTTTAAATACTAAGGTTCGACTAATCAGTCTCTTTAAATATTTAGGTTCGAATAATCAGTCCCTTTAAATGTTAAGGTTCTATTAATTAGTCCCTTTAAATGTCTAGATTTGACAATCAAGTCCCTTTAAATGTCTAGGTTCGACTAATCAGTCCCTTTAAATATCTAGGTTCGACTAACAGTCCCTTTAAATGTTTAGGTTAGACTATGGAAGCCGACCCAAGAGATGTCAAAGGAAGATGTTATTGTGATAGCTACAGACGGGATGTGGGATGTTGTAACGAATAAGGTCAGACTCAAGGTCGAGGTCATAAAGTAAAAGTTTACAATGCCAAAGGTCGAGGTCATTAAGAAAAGTTTACAAACTAAAGGTCAGGGTTAAAAAGTACAAGTTTACAATAAAAAAGGTTGAGGTTATAAAGTACAAGTTTACAAAGCTAAAGGGGGGCATAGAGTAAAAAAGCTTAATTAAGGTCAAGATCATAAAATACAAAGAAACTGAGTTTTTGCAACAAACCCAAATTTTTAAATTTCTTAATCATTGCAACCTTTGATGGTGTAAACCTTTTATATTTCAAGCTGAGCCTATTTGATCTAACAGCATTCATAGTTTGAAATATCAAAGGGTTTGGGTTGCAAAAATATAGGGATTAAAAAATTAGGGTTTTTGGCAAAACTCATTTCCTTTAGCAAATTAAAGCTTAAAATTTAAAAGTTTAATGTTATAAAGTAAAAGAAGCTAAAGATTGAGGTGATAGGTTCAAAGTTCACAAGTTTACGGTTGAGGTCTTAAAGTACAAGATTACACAGCTAATGGTTCAAAATTGATAGGAGGGGGGGGAGGGGGCCTGGGGGGGGTCCAAAAATCGTATACTAGGACAGACCCCAAAACGTTAATGTTTGCAAACCGAAGATTCCAAAATTATAAAGCATGAAATTATAAATCAAGGTCAAGTGCCGTAAATTACCTTTATCAATTACAATATTTGTAATCTCATTAATTTGGAACGATTAGTCCATCATTTTAATTTTTGCGACATTTTAGTGACCTTTAGAAATATCCGAAATAAAAATACTGATTCTTTGCCACAAACTTAAAATATCCAATCCCTATATCTTTGCAACCTGATGGTGTAAACTTAAAACTTTAAAACTTAGATTATAAGATCTAAAAAGATTTAAAATATATGAGGTATAGGCATTAGAAAATCATAGTTTGTGGCAAAGACTCGATTTCTTTACTTAATCCTTCGGACCAATAATGCACGGATTAGACCTGTTTTAAAGGATTAACAATTTAAAAGGTTTGATCTCTTATGTCAGCAGTTTGTATTCAGGAAGCCGGAGATATTGTGAGACAGCAGGCGACACAAGGAGAAATTGTTTACACTAATCTGGCAAAACGATTGGTAGAACGAGCTAGAGGAGAACGGAAGTAAGAAAAAAGTGATTATTATTCAATGATTTTTAAATCAGGGATGGTAAAATATTCGATGATTTCTTTTTTTTGGGATGGGTTGATATTCAATGATGTCTGTATTAGGGATGGTTCAATAATCAACCATTATTACTTTACGGATGGGTTTGTGTTTACTTCTTTTTTTAGGGATAGATAAGTAATCAATGATTTCTTTTTTAGGGATGGATAAGCAATCAATGATTTCTTTTTTATGGATAAGCAATCAATGATTTCTTTTTTAGGGATGGATAAGCAATCAATGATTTCTTTTTTTTAGGGATGGATAAGCAATCAATGATTTCTTTTTTTAGGGAAGGATAAGTAATTAATGATTACTTTTTAGGGATGGATAAGCAATCAATGATTTCTTTTTAGGGATGGATAAGCAATCAATGATTTCTATTTTAGGGATGGATAAGCAATCAATGATTTATATTTTAGGGATGGATAAGCAATCAATGATTTATATTTTAAGGATGGATAAGCAATCAATGATTTATATTTTAGGGATGGATAAGCAATCAATGATTTATTTTTTAGGGATGGATAAGCAATCAATGATTTCTATTTTAGGGATGGATAAGCAATCAATTATTTATATTTTAGGGATGGATAAGCAATCAATGATTTCTTTTTTAGGGATGGATAAGCAATCAATAATTTCTTTTTTAGGAATGGATAAGCAATCAATGATTTATATTTTAGGGATGGATTCTGGGAGAAAGAAGATGGAAACCTGGCATCTGGAGATGATATTTCTGTATTTGTAATTCCAATTCATAAATTCATGTCATTTAAAAAATAGGATAAAGGGGGGGGTTTACTTTTTATTTTAATCTCTCAAAGGATGTGAATTTAAAGACGACCTGAAAATCATTGAATCTGATAGATTGCTTATATTCCGTAGAGTCTTCTCTGAAGTCTCTTCCTTGGGAGGTATAGTGGGGAAAATGGAAGATTAAAAGAAATGTACGCAAAAAACATTAAACATTACTTGTATTTAGGATACAGATAGAAAAGGTTCTGTGTGTACAGTATGAATGAATCACACATAAAAATGTTCTGTATTAAATGACTAGTAAATCATTCATGGTTAATCTTTTTCATTTGTCTTTGTACTAAATAGAGGAAACTTATCTTTGAAGGGGAATTTTTGAGGGTTAACCTTTTTTTTCTTTGGAGGTGGGGGAGTGGGAGTAGTTTTGGGGAAGAGTGAATTTGATATGATTTTGGTATACATTTTTGTGTGCTATATCATTTTTTCTCACTTAAAGGGACCGTTCACTTATTTGGTTAATTTCAGGGTAAACTAAACAGCCTATTCGCTTTTGATTGGTAACAGTCTTACTTTTCAAAGACAACCGTGGTCGGAGAAAAAGCCGATTTTTCGTTCAGAATTCGAGCGCAAAGGGACGGTCCCTCTCCATAGACACTAATTGATGTTTTTTTCAGTAACAGCAGCCCAATAACATTTAAATTTATTATATTTTGATGTCATTATGTGTTCGTTATTATGTACTAAAATATTAAAACTTTTGATATTTGAATTAGAAAGAAATTTACGTTTTTCGTATTAAAACATGTAAAATGTGTATTCAAAGACGACGTCTCTACTACAATCAATTAATCATTTCTCGTATTTTGGTTCGCAGATTTTGTAGATTTTGTTCCCGTATGTGCACAACATTTCATTTGTATGCCGCGTTCAATTCAGCTTTTTACATAGGCAATACACAATTTTAAATGCAATAAAATAGTGTTATTTTAGAAATAGAAAGTTAAAAAACAAAAATAAATACAAAATAATGACATTTACAAGTAACGAACACATAATGACATTAAAATATAATAAATCTAAATGTTATTGGGCTGCTGTTACTGAAACAAACATCAATTAGTGTCTATAAAGAGGGACCGTCCCTTTGCGCTCGAATTCTGAACGAAAAATCGGCTTTTTCTCCGACCACGGTTGTCTTTGAAAAGTAAGATTATTACCAATCAACAGCGAATAGGCTGTTTAGTTTACCCTGAAATTACCCAAATAAGTGACCGGTCCCTTTAAGGTTGCCAATGGAAAAGTAATCTTAGTTTTATCTTTGAGAAGTTACATTGTTAAAATATTTTTTCTTCTCAAAAAAATATTCCTAAATAAAATCATTGATTTTCTCTAAAAATCAAAATTAACGATGTTTTGAAAAATTATTTCAAAATTTGATCATTTTATTTGTTATGATCCTTAAATCATAATTTCTGATTAAACTTACATTGTTAAACATGTAAATATGGTATACAGGGTTACCCACAGGCCACAAAAGATGAGACTATAGCGACGATTGTACGAATCAAAATCATCTTCAAACTTCTGATCGTTATATTTGCTCATTAAAGTCTCATCATTTGTAGGTATCCCTGTATCCTTAGTATCTATGAAATGTAGATTATTGCAGTACAAGGTTCCACACATGAAAATTACACTTTGTAAATTTCTTGATAATTGTTGCAATAAAATAATTATGATATAAATATTGTTGATATAAAGAATTACGTCTTTTATAATTAGTAGACAAAACAAAATAAAGGTGATGTTCATTTTGTGTGGGCAACCTTGTATATGCCGTGAATATGATCTTTAAAAAACTGTTTTACACTTGTGATGTGCTTTATCTTTGGTAGCAAATAGTATTTTGTCAAAGTTTTGTCGTCTTATTTCAGTGCCAAAGCATATAAATAAAAGTTTAAATTATTTTTAAAGACTAAGATACCATCCTATAGGCGCAGGGTGGAATACTGAATAGTGCTTATTTATATCGATAAATTATTCGAGAGGAAAGTTCTAACAAAACTGCGATTTTTAGGTTTTATAACTATCATTGTAACCGTAAATCAAACTGATGAATTTAATTTGAATTTGTAAATTGTGACAATATACAGCTTCATTCAATGTTTGCCTGAAACCCTATTTTGAGATCCCAAGACCGGGGGGGGGGAGGGAGGGGCTCAGCTTCTGTTGGGGGTTGAGCACGTTACACTTTTGAGGACCTGAGCCCCCCCCCCTGTGTACACCCCTGTCTACTGTATAATATTGCTAAGCCGATTGCTTTACTCATTGACATCTCAAAACTTTAATTGAAAAAGATCCAGGAGTTTTTTTTTCATTTCCGGAATACACTAAATATTTTGCCACTGAAATTCGCAAACCGCTGTTTGGAATTGCAAAGGAGGTTTTTCCACAAACTCTGATTTTCTAATCTCTATATCATTGTAACCCAATGCATGATGGACCTGAGATATTAAAAATTAAGATATCTGTTTGATTAAATTTTAAATTGAAATTGAAATTAAATTTGTAGGGTTTAGATAATTTGAGTTTGTGGCAAAAACTTTCAAATTTTCATCGTTAATCGATATATTAGCGTATTTAAAATTAAGGTTCGCTAAAAAGTAAAAAAGTGTAAATTGAAACAAATACCATGATAATTTCAGTTTTATTTTCTTTTTAAAATGGTGAAATAATGAGTTGATCCCTTGGTTCTTGTTTCCCACAACACAACCTAAATTTTACATTAATAAACTCGAAAATATTTCTTAAAAAGAAAAAAAGTTTTGATTCTTAATTCTTAAATTCAAGTGACCCCCATTCACAGTGAAATTCACAACGGTACCCTTTGTCTGAGCAAAAGTCAATGTTTCTCTTTTTAAAATTTAAATATTCTAAATTGTATATTCTCTCATGTATAATCGGATTTCTGCTTTAGAAATATTTTAATTAAACTTAATAATGTTTGAAGCTAGAAAACCGACAATATCTTCCAAACTATAGATCAGAGAAAGGTTAAACTGGTAAATTTGGGAATCCGGTATATTTCACTTGAAAAATTACATTACAAATTACAAAATGAGAATAAAAATCGTGTAACAAAAAAGTTGGATTAAGAAAATTATAAAAAAAACTTATCAATCCAAGAAAAGTTTTGAGATTGCTACTAATAAGAATTTATCTTTTTTATTCATTCTTAAAGTTATTTCACAGTTCCTTTTCAGAATTATTGATTATCAATTTTACAAAGACGACATTTTAAAATGCATCAATTCTCGAAATCTAACGATTTATTCATGAATATTGAACAAGACTAAATGTCCAACGGGAAGGCAAATTTACAAAGACTGCAGTACACTTTTTTTGCGTAAATTAAGCTTTTATGTTCTTAATTGAAAACAAAATTTTCATGAATTTTTTTTTTTAAAAGAACACCATGCAAATATAATGATTACCTTTAAACCACATTTTTCAAACACGTTGAACAGTGTTTCCTGAGTTTAAAAAACTTTATTTTCGAAAATATTTTGATAAATTTTCCTTTCTTCATCTTTCTGTTCCAGGTATTTTGTTTCGTATAGAAAACAAGTATCATTTTAAATGCGACAAATTTCTCCAATTATTCAATATTTTATCATTTTTACAATTTTTTTTGAGAGAACTACTAAATAAATTGTAGATATATAGAACCTTTTTCAATGAGCACGTTACTGTAAATGTAATTGAAGTTACTTGAAATGATGTCGACAAATCCTTTAAACATTTTTAAACAATTGAAAAGAAGAAGTTTCTTATTCCTTGTCAATATTTAGCACAGGAAACATTGCACTTCCAACAGTATACCTCTCCTACCAAATATTATTATTATAAATATTATTTTATCATTATTTAAACATTATCATTATCATTTTCAATACGATTGATACGTACTATTATTATTTTAATTATTATAATTAGTATTAATAATGGTATTTTCATAATCATTAATGTTATTATTATTATTATTATTTATTATTACAACTATTTCTACCTTGAGACCCATAAAATTGTGGAATAGGAAGACTCTAAATTTCTTAAATGTCGTCTTCCGATTTCATAGTTTTATGGTTAGCTGATTGTATTTACCCCCTACCTCGTGTAACGAGCCTTGAACTATAAGTAACCCGCCTTCTTTTAACCAATTTAAACTTCTATTTATCACAGTTTCTTCAAACATTCAAAATATAGATTTTTAAAAAAACTTGAAATAAAACTTGAAATAAAAAATAATTTTTAAAATTTTAAAGTTTTTTTCTGTATTTTTTGTGTTTTCCTAGTTGCTCCGTATTCACTGCTACCACATCCCACACTACAAAAAAAGATATTTTTATTAGATAAAATATCCCGATTTAAAGAAAAAGTTATTTAAACACTTTTGTTTCATAACAACTTTAAAAGTAAAAATAAGTAAAAAATTATGTTAAGTCCCAACTATGGCCCATTTACAATTGCCAAGTATTTATGATAAAAATTATAAACACATATATACAAGTATAAAAGCATTACTAAAGTAGATATGTTTGTATGTCAAACACAAGGATAACAGACTTTTCCTTATTTATCTACAGAAAAGCCAGTTATTTTTTAACACTTTTTGTTTCCAAGCTGGTTTGATTAATATAATATTTAACATTATCTTTCTAGAAGTGACAGAATGTGATCATTAACATTAGAATTTTAGATTACTGCGTCGTACATAGAATATTCTGATTTTTCCAGGAATACATGTGACGTCATCAGTGTTGAGTCACACAGTACGCTAGCGTACATTCCAATTTTACGGCGTTTTACACAACATTTAAAAGACATGTACAATGATATCTCTGTCCTCGATGATCTCAAAGGTTAAAGGGTACCATTGTGAATAAGGGATGTCCACGTCTTTACATTGAAGGCCACTTGAAATTACGCGCTTACTGCCTCTTTAATCATGAAATAGTGCTCAACATTACAGCACTTAATCATAAGTGCGTCCTCTTTTGCACCGCAACAAAAAAATGTTGAAAATGTGAAAATAAATTTAAAATAAAATTTTCATATTTTACCTAAGGAGCAGATCAATATATCGAATGGTGTCAATCCGATATCGCTGGTGAATACTAAAGAGAAACTTCCTTAACTATATTCTAATTGGGCGGAAGTTAAAAAAAAACCATTTTGTAAAAAAAATGATAATAAAGTGTTTTTTCCTTGTGAGGTAGAGAGGTCACATGGTAGAACAGATTTTATATTTTTCCTAGGATTTAAAAATTGTAAAAAAAATAATATTATTATTTTTCATAAAAAATTTACCTTACTCGATCTTCGATTTCGGTAACATTTGGATTGAGCTCTAATACACCCTGAAATTGATTTTTTGTACTTATTTGTTTGTTTTATTCTGATATCCTAATAACATTTTAATCATGAATTGATAAATATGTAACTTTCAAAACTAATTGTTTGTTTTTTTGACTAATTGACTAATGTTTTTAAAAATTGATATTTGAATTTGGCAGACATTTATATGGTTTTGTCATTTGAATGCAACTTATGATAAATTTTTTTTTTTCAACCTTGTCAAATATTAATCAATCAATGACCGTTGACAACTTAATGATTGATTGATTGAGTGTTTGAATGGTTAATTAAAAACAGTTTTGAAATTGTTAAATACTTATCATATTAGGCTTTTAGAGCGCCTCGCTCTCCTTTTATAATTACAACTTCAGCTTTAATCTGTTGCTGTTCAAGTCGCTATTTTGGTCAGATCCGTTAAGTCGTTTTAACCATAGAGAATAGAATATATATTAGAAAGGAATTTAAAGAATCTCTCGGTATGAATTTTTTCAGTCCCCTTCAGCCTGAAAGGGAATTCAAAGTGTACAAATCATGTAAATGTTCACAAATTATGTGCAGTAGAGTACATTGATACAGTATGTTCCCTAGACTATTCATTTCAATTTCGAATTTTTTAAACTGTTAAATAAACTTTATAATGAACTAGGTGAATAAAAACATCATTTGATTTATATAATTATAACGGAAAATCATCGTTTGTAAAGTGGAAGGCATAAAGTCTATGTGAAATGATCATTGGTCAATTATGAAACCAGCCTATTTCATAATTTGGCTTTCTTTTAACAATAATTTTAGATTTTCTATAAAATGATATTCCCAGGCCCAACAGGTTATATAGCATAAATATGTGAAGTACACCTGCAGTATGGAAACAGTACAACAAAATGGCCGTTTTACACTTTTTTCTAGTAAATTCCCCTCGAAATATATATTCTATTCTCTTTGGTTTTAACGTTTTTTTAATGGAGTTACCTGAAAACTAAAGTATGGGTCCCAGTTCCAGCACCCGTCCTCACTGTGTAAATAATCAATTAAAGAGACGTAAGTTACCCTCCGTTTATAGAGTGGCATGTTCAATTCACAACGCTTAAAACTTTGTCTGATGAAGATCGAATGAGATAATCATGTATTTAACTTTAAAAACTTAGTTATTTTTAAGTGTGGTATCTTTTAAAATTGTGATTTACGCATTTCTGCTACAGAAACAATAGAGATTTTTTTTAATGAAACACTTTTTAAACCGGGAAAATAACGATATTCTCATAATTATTGGTTAGTTGAAGGTAAAAAGGGTACCATTGGTAATTGGGCACACCCTTTTTATGGAGAACCACTCCATAAATCCGGAGTTATGATTTTAAACAGAAAGCCCTTTTCTTGCTAAGAACGAGATCTTTCATTCACTCGGTACAAATCCGCGAATGATAAACTCACAAATCAGCGAAAAAAAACCCTGAAAAAATATCTGCTGAAATTGAAAATGTTAATAACTCAATTGCAAATAATTCTTTAAATATCTATAATTGGAAATTACATTATATTGATATGTTTTACCTGTTTAACCACTTTTTTAACTCTCGTCTATTCCCTTCAAGCAAATCAGCAAGGTATATTCTAAACAAGATATATGATCATTGATCAGATGATACAGAGCAGTCCCATATCATATTGGATTATCTGCAAGCTTTAACGCCAAGCTATACGGAAATTTTTAATGAACTATTAAAACAGTAACAAAGTTACTGTTTTAATAGTTCACACAATACTCAAAAAACCTGGTATTTTCTGTCAGAAAATTTTTATATTAGCCTTATACATTTTTTAATGGTTCATTTTATTAAAATTTTTGAAATAGCCCCTGAAATCTCAATTTATAGAGCTTTAAGCGATATAATACGATGTGGGACACCCTGTATATTCTGCTTGATTGGCAGAGAGAGTTTTCGGGCAAGATTGATAGCCATAGTTTAGTAATTTAGACACAATAGGCGCTTATTTGTCAAATAGATTCTTAAGCAGAAAATTATGAGAGCTCATTTATCAATTAGAATAAGTATTTGATCAGAGGCTATCCATTGTCCAGAGTGTAAACTTTTAAAATAAATTCTTTAGAATTCTTAATATTTGATCTCTGAACTTTATCTTTCATTTTTCTAACAAACTGTTATTAGTTTTTACCTTTTTGATACTCTTGAAGCTGAAATAATGTTGCAAATAGATGGACCACATCCTAGATCCAGTATAGTCGGCCCACCTCCATTATCTTATATATTGATAAATGGATAGATAGATAGATAGATAGATAGATAGATAGATAGATAGATAGATATATTGATATGTATAATTATATAGATTTATATATAAATACATATACGTACAGATATAAGCTGAAAAGTTCCTGGGTTTTGGACACAACCATCCAATGGCCACAAAATATTGATAGCTTCTTTTCAGTAAAACTAAAAATATTCGATGGACACATTCAACCATATAACTAATAAATCCAACTTTTTGCAATAAATTGATACATCTAAAGAACAATATAGAAAACTAGCTGAAGGGCCCGGCGCTGCCTGTGGAATTTTAAAAAAAAAATTTTAGCTTTTGACAACCCCCGGCCACCCATGAGCGTCCACAAAAAATTTCAGCCCAATCGGTCCAGCTGTTTGGCCGGTTATACGCAACATATATAGATGTCTTGTTTTATTTTATAGATAGATATTCATAAAATGGTTCCGAATCATGCAAATCCCCCAATTTTATTGAAGAAATTTTTAGGAAAAAAGTAAACATTGTTGAAGAAAGACGGCTCCTTCAATCTTATGTGTATTGGAGAATTTGTAGCCGTTGGACTGCTTGGTAGAGCCTATAGAAGCAAAAGGAGCTATCATACAGATAAATACAACAGCCAGTGTATTTTTGTGGTAAAATTTGATTGTACTGTGCCCTGGAAACATTGAATTCTACAAAGAAATAAGTTTTGGAACAGTTCGTGGAATGGATTCCAGAAAAGTAAGGCTTTCTACAGAGCAGGGCAGTTAAAGGAATGGATTCCAAAAAAGTAAGGATTCTTTAGAGCAGAGAAGTTCGTGGAATGGACTCCAGAAAAGTAAGGATTTCTACAGAGCAGGGCAGTCATCATGGAATGGATTCCAGAAAAGTAAGGATTTCTACAGAGCAGGGCAGTTATCATGGAATGGATTCCAGAAAAGTAAGGATTCTTCAGAGCAGAGAAGTTCGTGGAATGGATTCCAGAAAAGTAAAGATTCTACAGAGCAGATCAGTTCGAGAAATGTGTTCTGGAAAGTGAAGGATGATGCAGAGGAGAGCAGTTCGTGAAGTGTGTTCTGGAAAGTGTAGGACGCTACAGAGCAGAGCAGTTCGTGAAATAGGTTCTGGAAAGTGTAAGATGCTGCAGAACAGAACAATTCGTGAAATGTGTTCTGGAAAGTATAGGATGCTAAAGAGCAGAGCAGTTGTGGAATAGATTTCTAGAGAATAAAGGATGCTGCATGGGGTCTTCACTATAACATAACATTCGTATATCTGTAATTGTTTATTCACTAATAAATCTATTCACTAATAAATCTATTTAATTAAACATTGTTTAAAATTGAAGTTACAAGGCAACTAGATATCCCAATATCGAAAGAAGAAAAAAAAAACTTTATTCTGTGTACTTAATGCAATTTTTATTTGCAAAAATGGTTGTCCTGAGTTGAAAACTTTAGAATGGGATATCCTTAATCCCGATCAGTTAATTAATCTGGATATTAATATCAAGAGGAGAACAAGAAATATTTAATCTGGAGATTTAGAAAAAGAGGAGATCAAGCATTGATCTCGATATCCACCATTCTAAAGTTTTCAGCTCTGGTTGAGTGTTAAAAGCAGATTAGATATTAGTAAGCTATTAGCATGAATTCTCATCATTACGTTCTTTTTAGCTTTCTGGACTATTTCAATTCAAGTGAATGCGTGTTAATATATTCTTTAATTAATTGGTTTGCAGGAGATTCAGAATATTATAAAGTGATCAGTTCCACAAAAATTAAAGGGGACATTTTTTTCCATAATGGTTTAGGTACATCCAGCCAGATAGATACATCATAACTTCCTGATCTTATATTCAGTTATATAGGAGGAGAATACTCTATCCTTGAACTCCTAAACCAACCTGGGAACTCCTGTAGGAGGTATTCAGTTATATAGGAGAAGAATACGCTATCCTTGAACTCCTAAACCAAAACTCCTGTAGGAGGTATTCAGTTATATAGGAGGAGAATACTCTATCCTTGAACTCCTAAACCAACCTGGGAACTCCTTTAGGAGGTATTCAGTTATATAGGAGGAGAATACTCTACCCTTGAACTCCTAAACCAACCTGGGAACTCCTGTAGAGATATTCAGTTATATAGGAGGAGAATACTCTATCCTTGAACTCCTAAACCAACCTGGGAACTCCTGTAGGAGGTATTCAGTTATATAGGAGGAGAATACTCTATCCTTGAACTCCTAAACCAACCTGGGAACTCCTGTAGGAGATATTCAGGTATATAGGAGGAGAATACTCTATCCAAGAATTCAGCCCACTCCTCTCTGACTCCTTGTGCCCAAGCATTAAGATATGCTACAGGGTAGAAATCACTGAAATTACATTTCTATATTTCATTCTCATTAAATAATCTTAATTCAAATATTTAATTTTTATCTTTGGATAGACAGAGACATTTTTTTTATTTTAATTGAATGATTTAAAGTTATTTTAATTGGCTCTCCTTGTCTACATTATAGTTTCAGTAGAAGTAAATATTTCAATTTACGTTTAGCGCCGATTGAAGGATTCATAACTCTAATTGGATAATGAGATAGATAGAAAGATAGATGTCGTCATACTATTTCTATTGGTTCAGAATAGACAACAAACACATGACTTAACCCTGGTTGGATGAGGAGCTAATGGACTCAGCATACAGGAGTGTCTAAAGGCCGATTCACCTTTTAAACCTTTGTCAGGTCTAGGATCCTTATTTTTTAGCTGCAAATAAGTGCTTATATATTTAACTTTGAATGCACTTTGTACTTTTTTTAAAATTAATTAATATATTTTTTTTTCTTGGCATCACAGAAATACTGACTGCAATTTTCTATATGATCAGTCAAATATTTCAAGGTAACCCTTGTGAATCGGACATGGAACTCTGTATAAACTGAGATTTGTTGCTTGAAATATTACGTGTACAGTCCCTTATATTAGCAAGACAGTTCAAACATTAAAATCTAAAAATTCCTCAAGGTTTGGTGCATTTTTCTAAGTTCCTCAGGTCCAATCGGTTTCTTATCTTCATTTTTCGTGTCCTCCATTGTTGAAACTTTATCACTCATTTTGTCTATGGACTTTTTTTTTAATTGTGTTTTTTATGATATTTGAACAAATAAATTAGAATATTTCATCAAGACTGTGCACATTTTTTTATAATTATGTCTTTGCAACTTTACATCGTGAAACTTATATTTATTGCAAAAGAATTCAATTTTGGATTTAAAAGGCTTTTAGTTATTATACAAAAACTCGTTAAACATGTCATACGGTTTATTTCACTCTTTGAATAAATTCACTTAAAGTTAAGTTAATGTCCATTAAATATTTTCTGGGACTCACTTTGTTGACTCTCCTTTCTCTGCTCCCCTCTTATACTCCTATACACATTACTTTCTTTTTCTTTCTTTAGAAACATAGAAAGCTTTCTTGTTCTGAACTAACATAATTTCTTGTTTTTCATGTTTATTCTAATTTCTATTATTGTTTATTTTTCTAAAATAAGACGTTGTTGATTTACGAAAAAATGATGGTTAGTGATATTTTTAAACCAATTCTTAGGTGTCAAGTTAACGTCGTCTTCGAACTACAATTTTAATGTGCAAGTATCTTTGAGAATTCTTTTACCTTAAAATTGACAGAAAATGCCGAAAATCATAAAAGAAAAAGTTTTCTGTTATTACAAAAGAATTGAGTTTTTGCAACAAACTCAAATTTTATAATCCCCTTATCATAGCAACCCAATAGGTTAGAACTAATTGATATTTCAAACTATGAATTTGGTTAGATCAGATAATCTAAAGACGAAATATCGCTTTTACTCAAAGATTAATAAGATTTTGTCAATTACTCCTTTCAAACGGCATGAACCTAGAAACGATCGCAAGGGGGGCGAAAAAATCTTGCCCCCCCCTTGGCTCAAATCCTGTATACGCGCCTGAAGGAATAGCTATTAAGTGGTTTTTTTCTGAGCAGGCAAAACACACTTTCATAATTTGTTAAATAAACAGTTAAAAATTGATATTTTAAACGGACAAATTAAAATGAAGTTTTGCTGTGCTATTTAACTGTATTTTAACTAAGTAGATACGTAGTTTAAAATGCAATGAGAACAGTGTCGTTTACTATATGGATTGAAATTGCAGATAAGATGTGCATTCTTGTAGAGGTGCTATGAAAACGCCTCAACACGGAAACGGACCAACACGGAAACGGACCAAAAAGTGACTTTTGGTCAGTTTCCTTCTTTTTTTAAAGAATTATCGGAAATCCCTCAAAAAATGAAAAGTGTTAAGGGATTTTTGGTTCATGTTTGAATAGTTGACTACCGAAATCGAACCAACTGGCTTATTCGGAATATGTATTTTTAACTGTTTAGCAAGTACAATAGTTAATTTTAATCACGTAATTTCTTTCCAGGTTATCAATATTCCAAACTCTAAAATATTTGCAATTGATATTGTGTTGTAAAGGAATTGAGTTTTTGTCACAAACTCTGATTTTCTTATCCCTATATCTTTGCATTTCAATGTCAGAGACCTGAGATATTTCAAACTATGAATTATTTCAATGCATATAATATTAGTTTGAAATATCAAAGGTTAACACCATCAGGTTGCCAAGATGTAGCTATTTGAAAATCAGAATTTGTGGCAAAAACTCAATTCCTTTATATTCATTCTATTTCCATATAATTGATGTAGTGTACATTTAATTAATCATAATCATGTAAAAGTTAAAAACACAAAAAAATTCTCTCTGCTATTAAATATTACTCTTTTATAACTTTATTATTGAATGATAATGAATATAACATGAATATTATAATTGGAATATTTTGATGATTAAATTAATTTTTTTTAAATGAACAAAATTTATAAATTTTTTCGATCATTTTCAGAGTTCATCGTTCCCCCAGTCCGCGTCATCTAAATAAATAGGGTTGAAATAGGAGGAAGGAGGTATACAGTGAGACCCAGAAAAATGTGGATTGAATCTCTTTTTTAATTTACAAACATCGCTGATATGCAATATATTTATAAAAATGTTCACTGCACTTTTTAGCAATAGTTTGCAACTTAAAAAACGTTCAGCAACAATTAATATAATTGAAAAAGTTGTTAAATTTTGTGGAATATAATATAGTTTCATGGTAATCGTTTTTTTTATATTTCTTGATTTCTCTACAATTGGACTAAAAAAACTGTGGCCCAGGAAGGCAAAGACCCAAGTTCCGATTTTAAAATGTCCGATAAACATAAACATAAACACTAAATATGCAGTGTCTGTGTACTCAGGCACTCACTCCTGTATTCCGATTCCATTAGCGCCTGATCCAATCAGGGTTCAGCCATGTGTTTGGTGTCTATTCTGAACCAATAGAAATAGTATTTTTCTATCTATCTCATCATCCAATCAGAGTTATGAATTCTCATATCGGCGCTATAACGGTAAATGGAAATATTTACTTCTACTGAAACTATAGTTGCCCTTTTCCCTAAAAAAGTTGATTTTTCAAGCGTCTGGTAAAACTATTTGCTCTAATTAGAAACAGCAAATACACATCAGATTGCTTAAAAGCAGTTCTTCTATCCCACTGTTTTATAGGTCCCACTGTATTTTTTAGTTGTTTTAAGTATTCTGAAACACCCTGTACTTTCAGGAGTTGTTCTAAGTATTCTGAAACACCCTGTACTATGTGGTAAAGGTGTCAGATGGTTTCAGAGGGACTTCGCAGAAATTTGAAATATATTAAAAATATTATAAAACAGATATTATTTTCAAGAAAGGAATTAGGTAAAAACCAGATCTCGGTGATCATTTATTTCTTGATTTATTTCAAGATGTAATTTCACAAAAAATTAAATTAATTGATGATTTGTACCTTCATCTAGAATACCATCATTATCATCATCAGGGTCCTCAGCATCAGGGATACCATCATTGTCATCATCATCATCATCTTAATCATTAATTTCATTATTATTATTATCATCATCTTAGTCATAATCATCATCTTAATTATCATTATCATCATAATAATCTTTATCATAATCTCAATCCTAACTATCATTATAATCATCATCATCTTAATCATCATTATCATTATCATCTTAATCATCATTATCGATCATCATTATCTTAATCATCATTATCGATCATCATTATCATCTTAATCATCATTATCGATCATCATTATCATCTTAATCATCAATATTAGAATCATCATCATCTTTCAATCCATCTGGAGCAAACGTAATACCTGCATCTAGGATTCCATCTCCATCAGTATCTCTAGCCTCCACATAGTAAACCAGGAGGAGAACACAGAACAAGAGAACTAGGAGGTCGAGATACCGCATTCTAAAACAAGAGGAGGTCAAGATACCGCATTCTAAAACAAGAGGAGGTCAAGATAACGCAATTTACAACAAGAGGAGTTCAAGGTAACTCATTTTAAAACATAAAAAGGTCAAGATATCGCATTATAAAACAAGAGGAGGTCAAGATAACGCATTATATTTTATGGGAAGGTCGAGATTCTGCATTATAAAACAAGAGGAGGTCAAGATATCGAATTATATATTAAGAGGAGGTCGAGATGGAGTATTATATAACAAGAGGAGGTCAAGATATTGCATTATATATTACGAGGAGGCCAAGATACCGCATTCTAGAACAAGAGGAGGTCAAGATACAGCATTCTATAACATGAGGAGGTCAAGATACTGCATTATATAACAAGAGGAGGTCAAGATATCGCACTATAGATTAAGAGGAGGTCGAGATAGCTTATTCTAGACAAGAGGAGGTCAAGATACCGCATTCTATAACAAGAGGTGGTTAAATACAGCATTCTATAACATGAGGAGGTCAATATACTGCATTCTATAACATGAGGAGGTCAAGATACCGCATACTATAACATGAGGAGGTCAATATACTACATTCTATAGTATGAGGAGGTCAAGATACCGCATACTATAACATGAGGAGGTCAATAGATACCGCATACTATAACATGAGGAGGTCAATATACTACATTCTATAGTATGAGGAGGTCAAGATACCGCATACTATAACATGAGGAGGTCAATAAACTGCATTCTATAACAAGGGGACACATTCTAGATAAGAGGAGGTAGTGTGTTCTGTTGCATTCTAAAACATGAGGGTGATGGTCAATACAGAACAATCTTGAAGTAGTCCAAGAAAGGGTTAAAAACTAAAAGTTCGAGAATGGATGAAAACTAAATCTTTTCTATAATCTTATGTTTGTAAGGTTTATTGTAGGTCTACTACCTGAGTATATGATTGACTGCTCTGTGTATCAGTGTACCCGGAGAACCTGGGTTTCCTGTCTCCTTGACCGGCGCATATTCCCTGCACATCCACGCGGGTCAAATCATTCTTCACAAAACTAACTAATAAAAAATTCGATATATTTAAATCTTATTAAAAATATAAATATCACTCATTAAAAGTAAATTTTCTAAAATTGTTTAATTATAATTAATTAATTAATATTTCAATCATTTACTTCATACAAAATTCCTTTAAATTTACATTTAGTTTTTCTTGCAGTAGAACTGAAATGATTGAAACTATTTTGCACAAATATCTTAGACTTTTTCATTCAATCATTCTTCCCCTCCCCCCTCCCAACTCTCTGTACTTGTATACTTGTGTGCTTGTATGCTTGCTTAGAAACAGAAAGAAGAAGATTAGTTGAGCTTATTGTATTAAGCTCTGTGTGAGAAAGGCATTTTTGAAAATATTTGACAAGATGAATTGATCTTGTGAAACTGAACATTGTTCTTTCTAGGGGGTCACTGGAGAGGTAAACAGTCAAGTAGAGGGAAGGTAGTCAAGTAGAGGGGAGGTAGTCAATTAGAGGGGAGGTAGTCAAGTAGAGGGTAGGTTGTCAATTAGAGGGGAGGTAGTCAAGTAGAGGGTAGGTTGTCAAGTAGAGGGTAGGTAGTCAATTAGAGGGGAGGTAGTCAAGTAGAGGGTAGGTTGTCAAGTAGAGGGTAGGTAGTCAATTAGAAAGGAGGTAGTCGATTAGAGGGGAGGTAGTCAATTAGAGGGGAGGTAGTCAAGTAGAGGGTAGGTAGTCAAGAAGAGAGTAGGTTGTCAAGTAGAGGGTAGGTAGTCAAGTAGAGGGTAGGTAGTCAAGTAGAGGGTAGGTTGTCAAGTAGAGGGTAGGTAGTCAAGTAGAGGGTAGGTATGTAGTAAACACCTACTGCATAAGAAGTTCTCGAAACGTATCTATCCAGGTACAATCCGTCCACTATTAGGGTCAACCAGGACATAATCCACCTGGCTCTAAATGCCACACAGGGACACAAGCGTACCATCCAACAAGCTATCAGTTCAACCAGGACATAACCCAACTAGCTCTAAATACGACAGAGGGACACAAGCGTAGCTATCCAACAAGCTATTAGTTCAACCAGGACACAACCCAACTGGCTCTAAATACCACACAGGGACACAAGCGTACTATCCAACAAGCTATTAGTTCAACCAGGACACAACCCACCTGGTTCTAAATACCACACAGCGACACACGCGTACTATCCAACAAGCTATCAGTTCAACCAGGACACAACCCACCTGGCTCTAAATACCACACAGCGACACACGCGTACTATCCAACAAGCTATCAGTTCAACCAGGACACAACCCACCTGATTCTAAATACCACACAGCGACACAAGCGTGATGATGTACGCTAATCCTTTACTAATTGTACAGGCCAATCTGTATATTACAGTACTTGGGGGTGATTTCTGAAAATATTTAAATGGAGAATTTGTTTTCCATATCTATTAAAATCCACTACTCCTTTTATCGTGCGCAGGATTCCATTTTCACAGGAAGACATACATTTACAGTCTTTTACAGAGCAATATTTCATCGTTAATAAACTGTTCTGAGAAAACTTCAAGTAAAATTCAAGATACAAAACCTCCTCATACACTTGTACTCCGAAAGCGTACTGCATACTTGATATTTGTACTGTATGAATAGGCCATAATCTCTTAACATCCTTTATCAGTAAACCATCCAAAGTGTACACTCAGGCCAATACACACGGAGATCCAACCCCCCTGGGTTAACTACACAAACTTATCCCAATGTTAGAATTCAAAGTACAACTTTGGTAAAATTAAAGAAATATCAATTAAGAATTTTAACAAATAAACGTTCTCTATGTTTTCTATTTTGTCTAGTTTGTCTAGTTTGTCTACTTTGTCTAGTTTGTTTAGTTTGTCTAGTTCGTCTAATTTGTCTAGTTTGTTTAGTTTGTCTAGTATGTTTAGTTTGTCTACTTTTTCTAGTTTGTTTAGTTTGTCTACTTTGTCTAGTTTGTTTAGTTTGTCTACTTTGTTTTGTTTGTCTACTTTGTCTAGTTTGTTTATTTTGTCTAATTCGTCTAGTTTGTCTAGTTTGTCTAGTTTGTCTAGTTTGTCTAGTTTGTCTAGTTTGTCTAGTTTTTCTAGTTTGTCTAGTTTGTCTAGTTTGTCTAGTTTGTCTAGTTTGTATAGCTTGTCTAGTTTGTCTAGTTTGTCTACTTTATCTAGTTTGTTTAGTTTGTCTAGTTTGTTTAGTTTGTTTAATTTGTTTATTTTGTCTAATTCGTCTAGTTTGTCTAGTTTGTTCAGTTTGTCTACTTTGTAAAGTTTTTCTAGTTCTTCTGGTTTGTATAGTTAGTCAAGTTTGAAAGTTTGTCTACTTTGTCTAGTTTGTCTAGTTTGTCTAGTTCGTCTAATTTGTCTGGTTTGTCTAGTTTATCTAGTTTGTCTATTTTGTCTAGTTTGTCTAATTTGTCCATTTGTATATTTTGTAAAGCTTGTGTACTTTTTTTCTAGTTTCCTAGTTTCTCTAATTTCTCAAGTTTCTCTAGTTTGTCTACTTTGTAAAGTTTTTCTAGTTTGTCTAGTTGTCACGTTTGTCTGGTGTGTCTAGTTTGTCTAGTTTGGCTAATTTGTAAACATTGTCTAGTTTGTCTAGTTTGTCTAGTTTGTCTAGTTTGTCTAGTTTGTCTAGTTTGTCTAGTTTGTCTACTTTGTCTAGTTTCCAAAATTTTTATAGTTTGTCTAGATTGTCTAGTTTGTCTAGTTTGTTTAGCTTGTCAAGTTTCTCTACTTTGTCTAGCTTGTCTGGTTAACAAAATTTTTATAGTTTGTCTAGTTTACAAAATTTTTATAGTTTGTCCAGCTTGTCTAGTTTGTCTAGTTGTCAAGTTTGTCTGGTTTGTCTAGTTTGTCTAGTTTGTCCAGCTTGTCTAGTTTGTCTAGTTTGTCTAGTTCGTCTAGTTTGTCTAGTTTATTGAGTTTCTCTAGTATAGTTTGTCTAATTTTTCTGGTATGTCTAGTTTGTCGAGTTTCTCTATTATAGTTTGTCTAATTTGTCTAGTTTTTCAATATTTTCAAGTTTGTTATCCTTGTCTAGTTTGCCTAGATTTCACAAACCCATACTTCAATATTGGGATAAGTCTGCTAAAGAGATGCATAACTACAACAACAGGAACTTTCTTTAGGGACATTTATGCGTTAAAAAAAATTGTCTAGTTTGTCTAGATTTCACAAAAGCATGCGCAAATACAACATGAAGTTTCTTTAGGGACATTCATGAATTTAAAACAATTTATCTTCTTTGTCAAGTTTGTAAAGTTTGTCTAGTTTGTCTAGTTTGTCAAGTTTGTCTAGTTTACAAAATTTTTATAGTTTGTCTAGTTTGTCTAGTTTCTCAAGTTTCTCTACTTTGTCTAGTTTCCAAAATTTTTATAGTTTGTCTAGATTGTCTAGTTTGTCTAGTTTGTTTAGCTTGTCAAGTTTCTCTACTTTGTCTAGCTTGTCTGGTTAACAAAATTTTTATAGTTTGTCTAGTTTACAAAATTTTTATAGTTTGCCTAGTTTGTCTAGTTTGTCTAGTTCGTCAAGTTTGTCTGGTTTGTCTAGTTTGTCTAGTTTGTCTAGTTTGTCCAGTTTGTCTAGCTTGTCAAGTTTCTCTAGTTTGTCTAGTTTACAAAATTTTTATAGTTTGTCAAGTTTGTCTAGTTTGTCTAGTTTGTCAAGTTTGTCTAGTTTGTCTAGTTTGTCAAGTTTGTCTAGTTTTTCTAGTTTGTCTAGTTTACAAAATTTTTATAGTTTGTATAGTTTGTCAAGTTTCTCTAGTTTGTCTAGTTAACAAAAATTTTATAGTTTGTCTAGTTTGTCAAGTTTATCTAGTTTACAAAATTTTTATAGTTTGTCTAGTTTGTCTAGTTTGTGAAGTTTCTCTAGTTTGTCTAGTTTACACAATTTTTATAGTTTGTCTAGTTTGTCAAGTTTCTCTAGTTTGTCTTGTTAACAAAATTTTTATAGTTTGTCTAGTTTGTCTAGTTTGTCTAGTTAACAAAATTTTTATAGTTTGTCTAGTTTGTCTAGTTTGTCTTGTTTGTCTTGTTTGTCTAGTTTGTCTACTAGGATGAAAACGCAATATCTTCGGAAATGGAACTGAGCACATTTTGACTACCAGATTGACAAATCTGGTAGGGAGGGGGGGGGGGCATGCGGCCATGAACCCCGCGGTAAGCTTTTCTGGAAAATATTGTAACGTTTTGAAAAGAGCATACGGTGGTAGGCGAAAATATAAATATAATAAAGACGACCTAACATTTCAGTTTTTATTGAAAATAAGATTTTTTTGCTTTTTTAATTGGCAGATTTTCTTTGTTTTTATTTTGTTCTGTATCCAGCTAGAGATTAACCAAAATTGAAATCGAAAGTTGTCTTCATTATATCGATATAATTGAAAAAAAGATAGTAGATATGTTCCTGCGAAAAAAAAGAAAATCGGTATGCGAAAATTCATAAAAAAAAAGTCAAAATACAGTTTCAACACCTGCGCCCAATTATTACGGAATTGCGCGCAATCAAATTCACTAGCTTGCAAAAATACAGTTAATACCTGCGCGCAATTATTACGGAATTGCGCGCAAGTACAATGCAAGTAATTTATTTATTCAGATAATTTATATCAGATTCAATGACGATATGAAAGAACTCTGCACACCTCTCCTCATTTCAATATTGGCGTAAGTGTGTAATTATGAATTTATTCAGATAATTTATCAGATGCAAAGACGATATTAAAGAAATAACACCACCCTTTTTTTGCCTCTTTTAACTCCTGAAGATATCCTCCTATTTATTCATTGTTCTAACTAAGTTTAGTTATCTTGTAAATAATTTATTAATATTAACATTAATTTGATTAATCTCAGATTATTAAAACAATATAAAATCTTTCTTTTAGTTGTTTGTTAAGAATAATATTCAATAATTTGATATAAATATAATCAAAACAAGCCAAACACAGTATCAGAACGATTCACAATGGTACCCTACACATGAAGGGTCACTGAAGGTTAAGTTGGTGAACATTTTTGCCATAAAATCGCAGAAGTGTCAAATGCTCCACGTGGCGGAAAAAGGAAGTGAAACGGAAATGGTTTTATTTGGTTTGGAAATATGAAGATATGTTCTCACACCCTCTTACCATCCTCTCTCATGAAACTTTTCAGGGGCGTTTCAAGGAATTTTTCCATTTTTTTAAAATCTTTCTAAAGGGCACAGCACCTGTGAAAGCCTAGCGGAAACCCCCCTGGAAATCATAGATTTTACTGATCCAGGGGGGGGGGGCTTAGCCCCCATAGCTCCTACCCCCTGTGATACGTCTCTATATATTAATATATAAATAATCTGTGCTTTATATATATATATCTACGAACATTGAATGGGTTAATTGCACCACATGATTTACGTATTTACTAATGGACACATTTAGCTATATATGAACAATACAACGTAATTTACTATGGGCCTCTATAATTGCTACTGAGACCCTATGGATACCAGGAAACACATGAATGTTTTATGTTGTTGGTTGAATGATTAAATATGTCACCCTATTACACTTTACACTGACACATGAACCTAGCATCTCAATGAACTGTGAAGAACATTTTACGCGGTCTCTTAACTTCCTAATTCTACGGGATACGGATACGTTTACGTTTGTTGTATACAGATCCTTCTAATCATAATTATACGCCTGTACAACTCATTACCACTTAATTACACCATGCCACGTCTCATAATCACCTTAATTATCCTTAATAACCGCATTTCTTAGCACCCTGTGACCTGTTTTTCTGTACATATTTTCAGCACTACTTTTGCAATCATGTTTGGCTTGAAGTTCAGTATGGGAGGGGGAGGGGGGGGGGCTAAGGTCATAGTTATTACACACCATATAGTCGTGGTGTTAGATATAGCACAATACACAATATACATACGATAAACATACAGATATTCACATCAACATACAGATGATATATTTTTATATGCATAAACATACATAACAATACTGTATATGTAGATTATGTACAGATATTGACATACGAACAGAAATGTCCAAGAAATCTTTATTCTAAATGTTCATGAAATCCTTATTTTAAAGGTTCAGGAAATCCCTCTCCTAAAGGTTCAGGAAATCCCTCTCCTAAAGGTTCAGGAAATCCCTCTCTTAAAGGTTCGAGAAATTCCTCTTCTAAAGGTTCTAAATCACTATTCTAAAAATGAAGGAAATCAATCTTCTAAAATGCAGGAAATACCTCTACTATACGAATACAGGAAATCTCTCTTCTAAAAAGGAAAGATATTATGGGTGCGGGGAGGATTTGTAACAAAAATGCAGGAGATCCCCGCTTTCGCGATGCAGGAAATCCCACTTCTCAATGTGCAGGAACCAGCTTGAGTTTCCAGGTTCTAAGAATGAACGTATGCGAATAGAAATATAAAAACTTGTGTCGTGTGCGGTGTATGGGAAAAATAATTTTCAGAGAACTGTTTGATTGATTGATTGGTTGATATTTTGCATTCTGCAGGGTTGGGGGTAGAGGGAAGGGATGAATTGAGATATTTGCCTGGTTAGGGAGGAAAGTTCAATATGGAGAGAGATCAAGGTACATTTCTATTACATATGATCCTATCCTGACGCACATATGGAACCTATAAATAAACCCTGATTTGCCTCAAATTTTGGATTGAATAGAATCACTGCACCCCAGTAGACAAGAGAAGAAGAAGGTGAAATTTATGTGTTCAGGAGGTTCAGGAGGTTTAGGAGGTTCAGGAGGTACAGCAGGTTCAGGAGGTTCAGGAGGTTTAGGAGGTTCAGGAGGTTCAGCAGGTTCAGGAGGTTTAGGAGGTTCAGGAGATTCAGGAGGTTCAGGAGGTTTGATTGAAAACTATGATTTCAATTTAACGTAACATTTTTGTTGTTGATAAAATTCAATTTATATCCTCTATATTTCTATATTATATCTTGATATTCTCCATATATTTAAATACTCCATATTCCTACACTTTATCTTGATACTCTCCATTTATTTATATCCTCCATATTTATACACTTTACCTTGATACTCTCCATATATTTATATCCTCCATATTCATACACATTCTAGATATTCTCCATATTCCTACACTTTATCTCGATACTCTCCATATATTTATATCCTCCATATTTCTACACATTCTAGATATTCTCCATATATTTATATCCTCCATATTTCTACACATTCTAGATATTCTCCATATATTTATACCCTCCATATTCCTACACTTTATCTTGATACTCTCCATATATTTATATCCTCCATATTCCTACACTTTATCTTGATATTCTCCGTATATTTATATACTCCACATTCCTACACTTTATCTTGATATTCTCCATATATTTATATCCTCCATATTCTTACACATTATCTTGATTTTCTCCATATATTTATATCTTCTATATTTCTGCACTAAATCTCGAACTTTTATTTTTTATTTTTTTTTTCATATATATAAACAGTAACAATATCACTATAATACAATGCTGTAAATGTTTTAAACTGGATCTAATAAGGTTCAAATATATCATCTGAATCAGAATATGAATCCTTATCCCCTGAATCTGAATTGTCATGGTCTGAATCATTATTATCTGAATCGTTATGGTCTTGATCTGAATCTGAATCCTTATTATCTAAGTCTGAATCGTCATGGTCTTGAACTGAATCTGAATCCTTATTATCTGAATCTGAATCGTCATAGCCTTGATCTGAATCTGAATCCTTATTATCTGAATCGTCATAGCCTTGATCTGAATCTGAATCCTTATTATCTGAATCGTCATGGTCTTCATCTGAATCTGAATCCTTATTATCTGAATCTGAATCGTCATGTCTTGATCTAAATCTGAATCATAATCACTTAAATCTGAATCTTTATGGTTCACAAAGAAGATATAAACCCATCTCATACTGCAGGTGAAATTTTAAATAAATTTGAAAATGAAACATGCATAATTTATCCATCATTTTTTTCTTTGAATATTCGTTATTTTCTTTGTGATTTCTCAATATATATAACTTGCTCATTTCTGATTTAGAAACAATGGATGAAAATGTCAAAATCAACGTTAGAAAAAGGAGAATATCTTTCACGTTATTGATTAGAGAAATATTTTAAGAGTAACCCTCTTTGTATGGATGATCCCCTGGAATAGCAAAGACATGAGTTTCATGTTCTTCTTTTATAAACAAGTCCATCTGTCTACATTTGAATTCATTACCCCTAGATNTACAAGGATACCAGGATACAGTAACAAAAGCAAAAAAAATGAATTTGTTTAATCAAAGTTCAAAACTTTTTGGATAACGATATATTATTGTATTTATCCATTTTTAATTATATACAACGTTCTCACAAGCTGAAACTTTGATAATCTTTGATTAAGCTTTGTTTTTTTATGTTATATTACTAGATCAAATAAATATAAGTTTGAATTTAGACTTCAGAAGAAACAGGTCCAGCGATCAGAGAAGTGGTAGATCAGCATATAAGTTGAGCCACTTAGCTGAATTGGCGTACAAGAGAAGTGGTTCAACTGAATTGTATTTGTATTTTAGAAGTACTATTTATAAAGAATTCATTTTTGAATTTAAGCGCAAACCTAGTAATTAAATTATGTGCTCACTTTTGTTGGGTTTGTTTTAAAATGTTATGTTGTAATTTGACTGTGTTAATCTATCAATAATTTTAATATTTCGGCCTAAATACAGCTCGCATTGCCTGTAGCACCCCATCATTAAAGCCCATAAATTAATGTAAAGCTACAGGCATTGGGCAGTAGCTTGTTATTTGTTCGGACAGACTCAGGGGTGGGATGGAGGAAGGGGGGGTGTTGAAGAAGAAAGAAGGTTTGAAGAGGAAGAAGGTTGTATTGAAAAGGAAGAAAGGAAACTTTAAAAAGGATAAATTTATGATTTTAAAAGGAAGACAGGGGGGGATCGAAGACGGGGATTTTGATTGTATTTGAAGCGTGAACATGGAGTGTGTATAAACTATAAAAGTTTGGTCTATGGAGTAAATAAACTAGGAGTCTGGACTAAGGAGTGTAAATGTAGCAAAAATCGTAGCAATCACCATATTTGTTAACCTGAGCGTATATAGATATATTAAACATGAGCGACATAATGTGATTAAAACATTAATTGGGATTAGATTAACTATGATTATATCTATCCATGTTAATCCTTTAAATACGTACATTCAACTTAATTTGCTCTTTAAATTTGTGCGGAGATAGCCTAACTACGTTATATCTATCCTCGCTAATCTTATAAATATGTGCATTAAACTTTAAAGGCTTTTGTCCCTGTCTGGCATTTAGAGCGTTGGATCGTCCACATCATTTGGGATATAAGGCTTGTTTGATCGCTAGGCTTGTGTCCCTGTGTGGCATTTAGAGCCTGGATTAATAGCTTGGTTTGATAGCTACAGAGATCGAGACCATTCATAGTGGCAATGATAGTGGGATTGTAACTGTGTGGATCGTGTCCTGTTTGACTTTGATAGCCGACGAGTTGGACCTGGATTGATACGTTTTGAAAACTTGCTATGGAGTAGATATTTACTACATATAAACTAGACGTCTGGTCTATGGAGTACATGAACAAGATGTCTAGTCGATGAAGTACTTGAACTAGGAGTCTGGTCTATGGAGTGCATGAACTAGAAATCTGGTCTTTGGAGTACATAATTAGAAGTCTGGTCTATGGAGTGTAGGAAATCGGAGTCTGGTCTATGGAGTGCATGAACTAGGAGTCTGGTTTATGGAGTGTATACACCAGGAGTCTGGTCTATGGAGTGTATACACCAGGAGTCTGGTCAATGGAGTGTGTAAACTAGTAGTCTGGTTTATGGAGTACATAAACTAGGAGTCGGGTCAATAGAGTACATGAACTAGGAGTCTGGTCTATGGAGTGTATAAACTAGAAGTCTGGTCTATGGAGTACATAACTAGGAGTCTGGTCTATTGAGTACATGAACTAGGATTCTGGTCTACGGAGTGCATGAACTAGGTGTTTATAGTTGATGAAGTACATGAACTAGGAGTCTGGTCTATGGACTGCATGAACTAGAAGCCTGGTCTATGGAGTGCATGAACTAGGAGGCTGGTCTATGGAATTCATGAAATATGAGTCTGGTCTATGGAGTGCATGAACTAGGAGTCCAGTCGATTACGTACATAAATCTGGTCTTTGGAATACATAAATTTGGAGTCTGGTTATATGGAGTACATGAACTAGGAGTCTGGTCTATGGAGTACATGAACTTGGAATCTGGTCATGAAGTGCATGAACTAACGGGATGGTATACGGAGTGCATGAACTAGGAGTCTGGTCTTTGGAGAACATAAACTAGAAGTCTGGTCTATGGAGTGCATGAACTATGGAACCAGGGTTGAATGAATATCTGTTTTATCTTCACACCTTGAGAACTGTAAGTTCAGTCTCCGGATACACTCGGAGCAGTGGAGCCTTTTCTATAGTATATTGTTGAACCCGGAGTAAACTCTCTTTAAACTTAATATTCAAATTGTTATGGTTTGTTTCTCTGTGTCTGTCCATTGACATGTCCTGGAACATTCAGGATATTAATCAAAACAAATCTAATTTTCTATTCCCAGTTATATTAAATAATTAAAGAGACTGTAAGCGTAATTTCAAGTAACCATACTTGCAAAGCTGGCATTCTCATCTGTACTCGTAAATAAAGAACCCAAGAGAATATTTTTAGTATTCATTTACTTAATAACAATGAGAGGGTTTTACGGTGTAAAGTTTCTTAGTAAGAGCGTAAATTAGTTTGTAAAATTCTATCAGACGAGATGGTTCACAGAAGAAACGTTTTCTTTATAATCATTTTCTTAAGTAACAGGTTGAGAAAAAACTAAGAATTAGTAATCCTTTAAGTTAATCGTTTCTGTAACGTTTGATTGTTCTAAAACGTTTTTCGGAGATTTCCGGGAATTTTTATTAAAAAGACGACATTTTAATTTTTTTTCAAGAAATCTGCTATCAAATTTATAAAGAATAATAAAATCAATATAATGACGAAAAAGAAAAAATTGATAGATTCTACCATTGATTTCTTCACAAATTTCTATAGTTAGACAATAAGGACAGTAGAGTAACCTAAACCTCAGACTGAAAGTAATGGAGTCTTTGCCACAGACTCAAATCATCCATATCTTTGCAACCTGGTTAATACGAAAAGCAGAAGATTGACAGAAGAATTTACAACCATCAACCCATCAGGATTCAGGAAACAGTATTTGAAATACATCGATAACAAGTTGTTTTCTTTCAGAAGGAAATACAAGTTTAATCTTGCAAACAGACCGGTGCATGGTCACTGTGCGTGTGAAACAAGTTTTTTTGCGTAGTTTTGGACCAATATTTGAATCATTGCAGTGTTGGGAGAGGTTGCAAGAACCAGAACTAAACTGATAGATTAATAATTTTCATCAATAAATCAATTACGAGCTGTATTTTGTCGAATATTTTAAACCCACTCCTATATTTTAACATTCACTCAATTCTTAGCGATTCTCAACTTTTTTGAAAACCAGGATACCAGGATACAAGGATACCAGGATACCAGGACACCAGGATACCAGGATACCAGAATACCAGAATACCAGGATACCAGGATACCAGAAAACTAGGATACTATGATACCTGTAGGATACCAGGATACCAGTATAAAAGAATTCCAGGATACTAGGATACCAGGATACCAGGATACCAGGATACCAGGATACCAGGATACCAGGATACCAGGATACCAGGATACCAGGCTACCAGGCTACCAGGATACCAGGATATCAGGATACCAGGATACCAGGGTACCAGGATCAAGATACCAGGATACCAGAATAAAAGATACCAGGATATCAGAATACCAATAGATGTAGTAAACATCTACTCCATAACAGTTTTTCGGAACGTATCTATCCTGGTTCTTTTGACTATCAATGTCAACACACTTCTATTACTCCGTAAACTATCAATGCCAATACCAATGAGCGTGACCACTTTAGCTGTCGATGTAAACTCGGACACCAGTAATTAATCAATCATTGTCTAAACCAAGACGTGATCTTGAGATATCAATGCCTCAACTAGGACACCATCTCGTAACTATCACTGTCTCAACTAGGACACGATCTTGAGCTATCAATGCCTCTCTATTGCAACTAACAATATTTCTTCAGTTTAGAATATAATTGGGTCTCTAACAGCGTAATTACAAGTTATGCGCTGTTATATATAACGTAGTTAACCAATCACAATATGGGTATGACGGAGTATCTGTTTGTCCCTCCCTCCCTCCCTGGAAAAATCTGTTTGTTCCTCGCCCTCCCTCCCTGGAAAAATCTCGAATATAAATGTATCTAAAACAATAAATCATAATGGGAGTGTCTTCTCTGACAATATAAATACACCCTAAATGGTTTAATTACTTCAAGATGAGTTTGAGAAAATTATACATATATCTAATTTCTCTTTTTTACTGCCATATATTTAGAGCATCATTTTTTCAATTTTTTATATTTCCCGGCTTATAAACTTTTTAGGTTCTTGAAAATTTTTGGACTATTGAGTACTGACATGTAACCCTATGTGCATAATTTCACAAATGAAAGTGGAATCCCCCCCCTCCCCCCTGCCTTCTCTTACATTTATGAAAAACTACTTAAAGACGTTTAGAATTGTATATTTATTTAATATTATCTTTTTTTATTAATTTTATTTTCTATCTTTCCTTTGTGATGCAGTTTTTGTTAAATACCGACTAAATGATGTAATTTGATACCTTTTAAAATTTTCTCCAGTTCTTTTCAATTTCTCCTGATTTCACCGCATTTCGTTTAAATATTTACAAAGTTTTCAGTAAACATTGAAAACATAGTGATTAAATTTCTTCAGTGTTTGCTTGGAAGGAATTGAGTCTTGGGGCCAAAAACTTTAATTTTCTAATCCTCATATCTTTGCAATGTCGTAGGCCTAAGTTGCAGAAATATAGAGTTTAGAAAATTTAAGTACGTGGCAAAGACTCAATTCCAGCTTCCAATCAAGCACTAAAGTAAGTTGTGCATGTACATTTTTACATATGTATTCTATGTACATGTACATTTTTACATATGTATTCTATGTACATGTACATTTTTACATATGTATTCTATGTACATGTACATTTTTACATATGTATTCTATGTATATGTACATTTTTACATATGTATTCTATGCGCATGTACATTTTTACATATCTATTCTATGTACATGTACATTTTTACGTATGTATTCTATGTACATGTACATTTTTAAATGTACATTTTTACATATGTATTCTATGTACATGTACATTTTTACATGAACATTTTTACATATGCATTCTATGTACATGTACATTTTTACATGTACATTTTTACGTTTGTATTCTATGTACATGTACATTTTTACATATGTATTCTATGTATATGAGTGCATATTAGTATTATATGTTTGCCTTTCGGACATAATTCATTATTCTGTTTTTTATTTTAAAACTTTTAATTACATTTGAAAAAATTCTCACTACTAATAAGAAGTATTAATCCAAACAAAACGTTTGATGACACCACATTTAAAATTACTTATTTTTTAGATTTTCACATTTTCTATTCTTTGCATTCATTTTCAACAACTTCCGTTCTGTTTTTATTTTTTTTATTTTAAAATGTATTTTGATTTATTTTAAGACATTCAATATTTTAATGAATTTTAAAGGCCTCAAAAAATTTCTGTCGAAATTGTGTTTCAATTATGTCACCCTTCTAAGACATATTCTTTCAGATAATGATTTCAAAGACAGAAATTGAAAAATATGCGTCAAGTATTTCCATACTGAATTGCGGAAAATCTGCGAACAGGCGCATGCGCAGCAGAAGAATACCAGTTCTTAAATTAACCTCAATTGCTGCAGTACTCATCAGTGTTTTCATTGGTACAATAACATTTTATATTTTAGCATTTAGTTTTAAACTAATATTATATCCTTTAAGCTCTTAAGTGAGCATGTTAAACGTTCAACGAATATTATTATTATTATTATTCTAATTTTTATTATTATATCATTATTAATTTCCCCAAGATCTTCATTACATTTTTTAGGTACTTATCTTGGACCTAAACTGCTGGGGTTTGTAGAGTACATTCGAGGATATGCGTACAATTATCAGAAAAACTGTATTCGATATACAAGAGGGTCAAAAGATAAGTGCTGGTAAAATAATAAAAGTTAATAAATACGTTTTTTAGAAAGGAATTGGGTCTTTGCAACAAATTCCAATTTTCTAATACCTATATATCTACAACCAAATTATGTAAACTTTAGATATTTCAAACTTTGATTGTTTGATATAGAAGTCATAGTTTGAAATATCTAAGGTCATACAACATATGGTTGTTAAGATATTGTGATTTAAAAACCAGAGTTTGTGGCAAAGTCTCAATTCCTTTGCTGAAGAATATCAAATTTAGAACAGATCCAGGGTTGTACAAGGTACAGCGTTATTATCCGTTTTTCAAACATTGAGAATTTTCTATTTTTAGGACACTCCGCAAAAAAATGCGATTTGTACTCTGTTTAAAATTGTATGCTTGATTGATTTTTCTTCATTCAGACTTATATCTATAAAATTAAAATAATATTACGTAAAACTTTTTTGTGAAGTTTTCTGAAAGCGATAAATCCTAAAATATCTAAAAACCGGGAAATGTTGATACATTTCAACTCTAGTTATGAATACTCTTTTTTAACAATTTATTTTATAAAATAGACGGTATCTAATCTATACAACACAATTTAGTATTCTTATTTAAATGCTGATTTTATTTTAAATTCTCTGCTGTAAAATATGCTTTTTAGCTTTCTCCTTCTTAGATGTTCTTGCTGTTCCTCCTTGTAATATATGCTTTTTAGCTTTCTCCTTCTTAGATGTTCTTGCTGTTCCTCCTTGTAATATATGCTTTTAGCATTCTCCTTCCTAGATGTTCTTGCTGTTCCTCCTTGTAATATATGCTTTTTAACATTCTCATTGTTAGATGTTCTTGCGGTTCCTCCTTGTACAATATGCTTTTTAGCATTCTCCTTCTTAGATGTTCTTGCTGTTCCTCCTTGTAATATATGCTTTTTAGCATTCTCTTTCTTAGATGTTCTTGCTGTTCCTCCTTGTAATATATGCTTTTAGCTTTCTCCTTCTTAGATGTTCTTGCTGTTCCACCTTGTAATATATGCTTTTTAGCATTCTCCTTCTTAGATGTTCTTGGTGTTCCTCCTTGTAATATATGCTTTTTAGCATTCTCATTCTTAGATGTTCTTGCTGTTCCTCCTTGTAATATATGCTTTTTAGCATTCTCATTCTTAGATGTTCTTGCTGTTCCTCCTTGTAATATATGCTTTTTAGCATTCTCCTTCTTAGATGTTCTTGCTGTTCCTCCTTGTATTATATGCTTTTCAGCTTTCTCCTTCTTAGATGTCCATGCTTTATGCTGATTATTTATATCTTTCGGCTTTTTTAAAAGAAAAAAATTGATTAAAATCACTATCTCTGCGTCATTTGAAATAGTTGGATGCCTGAATATGAATACAAACTCTAATTTCAGGCCTCTCATGGACTGTGAGCCTTGTATAGGCGTGACAGCGCCAATAATTCTTGAAGCAGAAGATGTTACCAAAGAACTATTTGAAAAGTTGGTGATTTCCTTATAAAAATTAATTACTAGTCTAGGGCTGGGAACGTTCAGACTTTTTTCAGGCAGTTTGTAAATCGTTAGTTAAAATCGTTCAAAAAACAACTTTTCTATAGCTAAGAACTGAATGTTCCGTTTGTTAGGGATATTTTTTTTTATTTTTCAAAGTTTTCCATCATTAACAACCTTTATTTTATTAACGGTATTAACAGAAGACATTTAAAAAATTTGCTAACAGTGTTAGCTGTTAACAAGCCGTTAACAATTTTATTTAATTTAAAAATACCTGGACATATTTGAGAACAGCAATAAAAACATCAAAACACTTTAAAATTATTAATATACATAAATTTATCTTTTATTTTCTATAATATTTATGCAATTTTAAGTTAACAGAAGTTGCCGTTATTTTGAAACACATCCGTAATTTTTTCTAAGAAACTGATAAACATGTCTTATCAAGGATGGCTATGTCCATTCTTTATTGATTTTAAAATTAATGGTTTTTGCAGTTCCTTAACGGACTTTTCCAATAATGTTTCAAAACTTACCGTTCATTAGCGGATCGTTGCCCAGATCTAATAACGACCTACATAAATATGGTTTTGGGGAGTAACCGAAAATAAATTTCAGTTCCACAGTATATCTAAAAAGAAAGATCAAATCACATATAAAAGCCAGTTTTAAAGATTAAAGGATTGGAAAATTAGATTATTAGAGTTCAATTTAAAATAAGTTAAAATTTGCAGGTTAGACTACTCCAGAAAACCATTTGTTATAAAAAACGTAATACAAAACAGGAATGGTTTTACTCTGGACTGGTTAA